CTCGTGGACACTGGTGACCCTGGGAGTGAGTACAGATTACAGACAATTGGCCCTGGAGATACCTCCATTATAGGAGTTACTAGCAGTATCCAATAGGGATATCTTTTTCTGACCGTACAAGGACTTGTATCCTATTACCACTCCCACTCCTACCATCTTGGGGTTTGGTCCATATCTGATACTCCTGGTGCTCTGGGTCTCATCCTGGTTGATCCGGTTGGAAACACACGAGTTACCTTCCTGTTCGATTACCTCCATCTCCTGAGGAAGCGCTGTGAGCGTGAAATGCGTTGAGAATACCAACTGCTCCTTTACCGTCTTCAGAAGAGGCTGATTTGACATAAATTATTTTGAGAACATTCCTTATTTATTATATTTACCATGTAATCTGTGATTCATTATGCCTCTATCATGTTATATTGGAGTAGTTGTCGGTGGTACTGACAATAGCCACTACATTTTTACCATCTTCTGAAGTGGCTGTCTTCATGTATGATTTATTTATATATACATATTTCTTATGAATTGTTTAAATATGTCCTCTATGAAATAATATGCTTCAATCATGATAGGTCGGAGTGGTTAATTTGGAGGTATTTTGTTACTAGGATGATGTTAGCATGCACACATCATTTTTATGGTTTTTACACTTTTGTATGTAATAAAGATTTTTTGTTATTAAGCATGCTGTAATCTGTCACCTGGTGCCTTAAAAGCCCCACTTACCCATTTGTTTTCTTGCTGACTTATCAGGGGGTGTGGCACCAATTACTCAGGACTCGTTCATGATAATTTGTTTAAATAAACCTGAACTTTGTACAGGGGCTTTAGCTGTAAGCTTCATTCACTGTGTGATAACCATGCATTTAATCAATTTGCCAAGCCAATGTTGACATTAACAACAAAGGAATTAATGCACAAGCTGATCTAAATATGACCTCAAAATGTACCTAAATACATGTTTTTTTTTCATTTTGGTTAGAGTAGACAATTGGTAAAACCCCGAGCTAGTTTTTATTCTGTTTTTGTTTTGTTTTTCACCAGAAAACTTATTTTTGATTTCCTCTTTATTCCTGTTTTTGGGGGAACTCAAAATGTCAGGTTTTCCCTTATTTTTCATCCAGATGACAATGGCCACCCGGACAAATAGAGAAGGTGAATGCCCTGAACTGGGACACACACAACAAAAAAAATCCAAACACAGACCTAAAATACAGGTCACACGTTTAATCACGTTATAAAGACTAATGACCAGGTCTTTATACCAGGTCTAGAAAATATGGAAGAAAAATTGACCACTGCTGCAGTCAGATGGGACAATTCGCACATCCACTACTTTGGGTCCTGTGTTGTTAATGTCACTTCCAGATCCCGTAATGATGACATCATTTCCTGGTCCCACAGTGATTACATTACATCTGATTTACTTATTTTTGGAGGGAACCATCTCCACATGCATCTATTATTGCCCCATATGTAAAAGTCCCACAATGTTACCTCATTTGCATTTTGCTCCTGATGAAGCAGCTGGAGCCACAATACATGTAGAGGTATACCAGTGTCACCAGTCCCCTTGGTATACTTTGTTTTTGCACTGATCTGGGACACACCACCTTTCTCTTTTTTTGCAGGCTTAGTATTTTTGGCTTTTTCATTTATTTATTTTTTTGTTTTTGAGTTTTTTGGCATATATTTTTTGTTTACAGTTTGTTTATTGAGTGGGGTGGTGTTGGTGTTAATAAATTTCATAGTTTTGTGTTTTGTATGTGTACATATTTATTCATATATTTTATTTTGTATATATTTATTTGGTGAATGACAACACATTTTATGGATATAGTTTTCTCATCCAGGTCGGAGTCATCCAGGGCTCTATTTGAGTTCCCTGATGGATGATAAAACTATATAGGGACTGATGTATTGATACTTTTACTCTTCCAGTCTCTCCACAGGCAGAGTTTGATTAAGGCTTCAGCTATAACACTTTGAGAATCTATGTGTCAGCCTTATTAGCATCCATGGAATCTAAATGGACAGACTACCATCTTCTGCAACAATTTCTTAAGGCAATGTTAAAGTTGAAACAACGATTGAAGACACTAATTCCCAAGTAGGATCCCTAGTCTTAAGAGCTCTGTTTTTCTCTCTAGAATCTTGCTGGTTGTGGCCCCTAATGCTACCAACATTGTTTTCTAACAGCCATCACCTCAGCAAGATGGGTATCAGAGCTTCCTGCCTTCTCTTGTGAAGAGGCTTTTTGTATAGTGTATGCAGACAGGGTGTACCACATTCAGCTCCAAGTTTTCTGTCAAAGATTTCAACTCCATTCCATTACAATTGGAAATCTACTTTTACCAGCCTTTTGGGCAGTAGATTCAACAAATTCTACATGACTGTAGCACTTTAAATTTGTACCAGGCACTTTCCATCTTCTTACAGGGGACTTATCATTTTGGAAGGTTGACAATATTTACGTCTTCTCCCTGGGTTCCAAGAAAGGTTCAGCAGCACCTCCCAATAAATATGTATTTTTTTGCATCGTGTTTGTTTGATTGAAAGGTTGTTTTTCCCACCCCTGTTCCTTTTATACTGTTCACATCCAGTATTAGGCTGACATGAGGAGTGCCAGGAATCTGGAAACTTGGTTCTGATACTTACTGTAATTTTCCATTCCTGGCATCGCTTCATCTCAATTATGCAACCCCCCTTTCTGTTGTTGTGAGTGATATTAAATGGGTTAGTTTTATTGGCTAGATAAGAGTTGTCCTGTGGGGTCAGGAAGTGAAGCTGACCCATAGTAGGTTGACATGGGGAGATGCCAAGAAAGGGAAATTAGAATAAGTGGCAAAAAACTATTTTCCAAAATATAACCTGTGGTGTACCTTTTTTTGTTGGTTTTGTATGGTTTTAAATGGTTTTAATCTGTGGGGTGTTGTACATGCCACTGTTTGTGTGTATGATCTGTGTCTATCATTTAATTGGCTCTCTAAATGGCAGGATATCTGCCCTGCCACTGCTTGCCCTAATGCTCCGGTGCAGATGGCAGGTTCTCTGCCCTGCTGGGAATTAACAGAGGGAGGCAATGTCAATCAAACACTCTTACCCACCCTGTCAGGCAGTTCTGCTTGTAAAGTAGGCAAGCTGGGAGCCTACTGAGGCAGTAAAAATCTTTGACAGTGGCTCCTCCTGTTCCATAGCCCAGCACTCACCACTATAATTGGTAGCAGCTCACCAGCAACTACTGCAATCTCCGCACTTTTCTGCCCGCTGTTACCTAATGCATGTTTATGATTTTGTATTATGTAGAATAAGATATTGAATAATGTCACAACCTTACATTTACAACAAAACAATCAGTATCAGCATCTAAGCATGGGTTTACAGACAGACATCAATAGACTGGAATATATTTTTTCTCCATTCTATTAAACAGAGACAGACTCCGCAGTCTCTGCTTTAAAATTGTTTAACCCAATCATATTATGTATGTTAATGTAATGGGAAAAGTTGTTTCAATCTTTTTAGAAAAAAACACAATTGTTTATATATACATTTAAACATAATTGTCTACTTTTACATGCAGTTAGGGTTTAGTTGTTCTTTCTTCTGTGTCTGGAAGACCTTCACAATCATCTCACATCTGTACATGGGAAATGAGGAGATGATGTGTATTCAGACTAAAAAAAAAAGTTATCAGCGTGACATATCATTGTAAATTATTGTGGTATATTACGTATAATATGTAATAATAGTGTATGTATATGTAACAGTATATAAAAGGCTTTGGTTGACAAATATCTGAAACCAGATGAATAAATGTCAGCAAGAAACCAGATGTTTCCATTCCATTCAATTAGTATGCAGGTGCTACCTCCTGGTTACGAATGTTTGTCACATAGAGCATTTATGTACTGTTTTAACTTCTGTTGTTGGTTTGCTTTGGTATCTGATAATAATAAAAGGTTAAGTCTAATCTCTAGGCAGAAAAAAACATCAGTTAAAACAGTTATGTATTTATTAAACAATCATTACTTTTTTAAATGCTGCCTGTGTACAGTACCAGAATTTATCTTGCTATCAGGTTCTTATAGTCCTCTGCACTTCTGTACTGAGTAAAAGAGGAAGGGCAGCACCAGAAAATAATTAGGTATGTTGTGTTCACATTGGTTAAGAAGGAACAGGAGGAGAGAGCAGATTGACCTGAAGGGATGAGCTCATCAATATACTGCTGTTCACCAGTATCGCATAAAGGCTCCCTGCAGCTAATCTAGTTACTTACATGGCATGCCTTGTTCTGCACCTTGTCTGTGGGGAGGCAATCATCTTGGTTAAGGGAAGGACTTTGTTTCATCATGTCAGAAGAAAACTGGTGGTCTGATGACAGATGGAGGAATAATCAAGCAGCTGCAAATGTGGTTCAGTAGGAAGCACAGAACTACAGAATGAATGAAGCAGAAGCAGGGAGATGGTTGTTTTCCGGTCCTCTGGTTCAGCTTTCTTTCCAGCGAGGAGAACAGTAGTCATGTCAAAAAATCTTATTTCACATTTCATGAGACTAGCAGTCAGAGGAACAGTTCTACCTGTATAAGCCACAAGACTACCTAGGAACAGGAAGTGCACTGCTATTTTTCATGAGGGAGTCATAAAAAGGTAAATTGTTCAGGGTACTACTACCGGTAAGGCACAGTTAACATTACTAGATGTTGCCCTTTACACAACAAATCTTCACTTTCTGAATTTAGGTCCCTTATAACTGCAGCAGGCTCAAGTAAAGTAACGAACCTGGGCTGTCTGGCAGGGCTGTGTATATCTTCAGACTAGATAGACAGAAATACAAATTCATAGGCATGTAAAACAGCTCCCATATATGTATTGAAATTGTGTGATAGCTGTTTGCCTGGAACTCAGCTGACAGAATGCTTTGATATCTTTGTTATAGTATGCTAATAGGTAGCACTTTTTTCCCTCTTATGGTAAACATGTTCTTGTTCTCTCAACAGATTCACAATTACATTGGTCATGCTAAACTCATTGTCCAGCTGGTAACTAATGGCAAGGATGTCCGGTTACATGCCCACAGTCTGGTGGGGAGGCATTGTGAAGATGGAGTTTGTTCCATGAGCGTGGGTCCTAAAGACATGGTAGTTGGGTAAGAATTTGTTTGAGTAGGTTTAGGTAATACAATTTTCTTACTTGTGTCCTCTCATGGTTAAAGTGGTTATAGGGTTAAATAAACGTGAGCAGGAAGTAACTAGTAAGCTTCAGTACATGAGCTGTTCAAATATTCCAAACCACAGCATGTTTCACACTTGCATGACATTATTTTGAGGTTTATGTACACTAAAATGGCACTTCCCACACTAGATGACTCGTTTTAGCAATACTCACACACCAAACCTTCCTGTGATGCTAGAAAGGCGTTTGTATATCGCAGTATAAAGCTGACATGGGCTGAAAATAATAATTATTTCAAGCGTCAACGCATTCTTTTTTTTTTTAACCTTAGGTATTTTGCTGTTGTCATTGTTTTAACATATAAAATAAGCCAGGCATACATGTAGTACTTATACTAATAAAGCAGTGATAATCTACTTATTACTACATATTATATCTGAAGCATTCTGGACTTGCAGTCTTGCAATGTTATTTGGCAGCAGTGCTGCATTGGCAGGACACTTGTGGGCTGGAGTCAGTTACTTGGACTGATCAGTATCATTCTGTACTAGTTCTTGTTGTAGCAAAATTCACTACCCTTTGAATTTTCATGATACTAGCAAAAGGCTGGAGAAATTACAAACAATGCCGAAGAAGTGCTTAGGTGGAGGGTATGATGGTCACCAGCATGTGCAGGAGAGGAGATATACCGTACTCAGCAGGTTGGTACTCACAAACTGCTAACAATCTCAGTGTCCTAGCGATCAGAGGCGGCTCTAGAGTTTGCGAGGCCTTAGGCGAAACCTAAACATGAGGCCCCACTCAGGCCTGTGGGGTATTATATTCAGTAGAATGACAAAATCAACAGGGCTTATCGTCAGCAAACACAAAGATTCGGCTCAGCGCCTGTATACCAAGTCACACTTCAGGGTTAGAGTCCCAGCCTGCTCACAGAGGGCTCCAGTATGGACACAGGTGCCCCAGCAGTGTCTCGGTAGCTGTATTCCACAGCTTAACACACACACAACCATGTGTCCTGCTCCTAACACTCCTTACAGACACCACTGACTGGCTTCCTGTTCCTTTTTAAGACACCCTCTGACTGGTGGGTTAACCCTTTCATTACCAGAACTGGCTGTAGTCAGGGATGGAGGCACTGCCCCACCCACAAATCTCTCTGAGCCTCCGGATTCCGGGGCCCATGTATAATTAACAATTCTGGGAAGACTGCCTAGCAGTTTCCCTTACAAGTTTGACCCGGAACCCCTCACCCTCCTTGTTGAGAACCCTGAATACAAGGTGACCTTAACAGGACCACCACCTTCACAAGGGAGGGATATACCGTCCATCCAGGACCCATTTCTGGCATCCTGTACAATATACTGTATGTGTGTATATATATATATATATATATATATACAGGGCTTGAAAAATTTTAGGGTGTCTCACCAGTTAGTCAAAAATGTCACCAGCACGACTGGACTATAGCCTTGCAATTTATGTTAACATTTTTTAGGGACAGATAGAGCTTTCTTTTGGTAGTATATATTCACCACTGGGGTTTTTATTTTTCACTATATAATGAAAAAAGTACCGTAAATTTGTTTTCCCTACGTTATGTTAAAAAACATTTATTATTACCTATATTTTTGGTAAAATATAAAAGATGGGGCCACATCAGGTAAATAGACACCAAACATGTCAAACCTTAAAATTGCGCGTGCCCGCAAAATCACAAAAAAACAACTACACCGAAAATTGGCCATAGGCGACGCTTTAAACGCTTTTACAGCACATCAGTTTAGTGTTATCAGTGATTAATGGCCCTAAAATTATTGCTCACATTCTGACGTTCGCGGTGATATGTAACATGTGCGGCACAATAGGCGCAATTGTCGTTCTCGCACGTAGGCGCACCCCACGCATGTTTCCATGTGTATGTGGAGGGTGGGTGACTTAAAAAAATGTTTGTGGTTTTATTTTATTTTTCTATGCTTCTTTAATTTTTTTATTACTTTTTTTTTCTCACTTAACTTTATTGCTATCACATAGGGGGCTAAGAAGTTCCCTATGTGATAGCCAATTGACATAACAGGTCCTCTTTATGGAGACATCAGGGGTCCCCCAGAGAAGCTGATGAAGCAGAGATCTGCTTCACCAGCTTCTGTAGCATGGAATGACAGCTGAATGCAGAAGTGATGTAATATACATCACGTCCTGCATTGGGGACCGGAGAGGAGATCAGAGAAAGATTGTCTACTGATATCCCTTTGATCTCCTGTCACAGAGCAGCCGTGCCGGTCCCGCCCGCAGCAGGCACAGTGGATCTCGGGACCGGCAACGGCAGTGACAGCGGCGGCTGCGGGGGTAAAACCACAGCTAATGCAAGCGTCTAGAGACGCCCGATCACTTTAATGTAAACCACCATCCAAGAAGCAAGAAGCTGCAGCTCTGGTAAAAACTGCTGGCAAGGATAGTGGAGCTGTTGCCTCTTCTAACTAATCAGACTTTAGCTCTCATTTTTTGATGGGTTACAGAGTGAAAAGTAAAATCTGTTTTTACTTTTTTTTCCAGTTTTTGTCTTTGAGGTCCTTTGTGTGAAACCATACTTTCAGTACATGAGACATATTTGTCATACAGAAACTTTTAGGGCAGGAAGTAAATATAATTTAAATATGAATATGTGTATGTGTGTCCAATTCGCAGTGAACCAACAGATTTCCAGCAACAACCTATTTCACTATGCTTGTTTTTAGCTTATTATGTATATTTTACTTAAGATCCACAGTCATGTGAAAAAGTAAGTACACTCATTAAAGTTATTGACTTATTCAACGTTATTCAACTAATTTACACAGGCAAACAAATTTTGATTCAAATTGTGCCTACAGATAAAAGTGATATACTTAAACATATCAAGTAGAATGGATATCCCACCGCTCTGCTGACCGGTACTCCTCTTGGTAGAATGGGTGCTGTAGTGATCCGGATTGGCGTTTCATAAATATGAGTATAGTAAGTGTTTCACCAGCACACTAGGGATCTTCTTCCAAAAATGATGTGGTCACACTATGCCCGAAGAAGGGACCCTGCACGGTGTTATTTGTTGGACATGATGCAGAAATAAAAGGACTTTTTGGACAAAAATTAATTAACAAATTTGCAGATTTGTCATATGGCATATGGAAAAAGTACTATACCCCTACGTTTACCATTACTTCAAATCCATAAAATTAAAATCATGGTGTTCTAGATTAGGTGCGATTGATTAGAACCTCCATAGGGAGTATGCAAGTGAAACCTGTCTTATTTAAACATAAAATACATAGGTTCTGCTGTTCTCTTTGCCATTGACATGTGTGATGTCACCATGCCAAGATCATAAGAGCTTTCCATAGAATTGTGGATTCTATGGAATTTAAAAAGATCTGCAAATTATTTTAAAACAATGATTTCACTGTTTGGAAAATTAAAAAAAAGTGGCGTATATTTCAAACAGCTACTTATTTGTCCAGGTCTGGCCAGCCCAGCAACCCAAGAGCTGACTGATGCTAAAAGAAGTGTCCAAGGACCCCAAAATTTCATGGCGTTCAGGTAACTCTTGAAACAGTTAGGGTCAAAGTGCATGCATCTACAATCAGAAAGAGATTGCACCAATTCAACCTGCATGAGAGGTGTATTAAGAAAAAGCCACTGCTGTCCAAAAAAAACATTAGAGCAAAACTACAGTTTGCCATTGAACAAAGAGGCAAAGGCCAGGGCTTCAGGAACAACATGCCAAAGACTGACCAATCAAATATAGGGTTGTTTGGTCACAATAACAGTAGACATGTTTGCCGAAAAAAGACAGATTTTCAGGAGAAGAACCTTGTAACAACTGTGGCATATGGTGGTGGAAAAAAGTTGTGGTTTGAGGTCGCTTTGCTGCTTGGCCTGTGCAGCTCGCAGTCATCAAATAAGTTATACATTCTGCATCATATCAAAGTTTGCTTGATGAGAATGTGAGGTCATCTGTCCAAAAGCTGAAGTTAAACCAAAAATGAGTCTTTCAACATGATAATGATCTAAAGAACTCTAGCAAATTGACCAAGGAATGGCTCAAAAAGAAGAAATAGAGGGTTGTGAACTAACGTGTTCAAAGCCCTGATATGCTTCCTGGTAGATTTTGTAGGATGATTTTGAAACGGGAAGGTTATGCAAGTAAACCCACAAACATCTTACAACAGAAGGAAATCTTGTCGTTGTCAGAGATTGGTGGGCAGTTATACAAAATTGCTTCAAGAAGTAATTTCTGCTACAGGGAGCAATACCAACTCTTGATGCCAAGGCTGTACTTAATTTTTCCACAGTACACCATTACATATATTGATAATTTTGTTAAATAAAGGATTGAAAAGGCAATTATTTTCTTGTGTTTTTATTGAAATTTATCATCTTTATCTCTAGGCACTGTCTGAATAAAGATCTAACGTTTGCGTACTCGAATTTGTTGAAAAAGTCAAATAATTATATGGGGCATACTTAATTTTTCACATGACTGCAAGTGCCCTTTAACCAATAAACACTACTTCTACCATGTGATAACCAATAATAGTGTTCAAAGCTAATACCAGACACTTAGCAAAACCTTAGATTAATGTTATTTATCTGGGGACACTGAACAGAAGATAGTCAATGTGGTATACAGTATACAATACATTGAGTGGCCAGATTATTATGACCACCCCATCAGTATTTCGTTGGGTGACCTTTTGCCTTCAATACTGCGGCCATTCTTCTTGTTGGCATTGACTCCACGAGATGTTGAAAGGTGATGCGAGGAATCTGACACCATGCCTGATGAATAGCACTGTCCAGAGTTTACTCTGGAAAATTACCATAAAGCTAGAAAATCCAGGCTTGGAATTCATACACTATCCCAGGAAGCTACTGAAGCAGGGCTGATGTCATTCTTGCCTAGGCGAGGGGCTTTTCAAGTATGCAGAGGGGGAAGGTTGCAATGCAACAAAGTAATTTTTTGCTGTGACGGTCTACTTTAAGGTATACTCAGCATGAGAGAAATATAGGTGCTGGCAATCCCCTTCTAAAAACACTAGTTCACTTGTGTCTGCCTTCAAAATTTCTAAATCACAGACCTAAACAAGCAAAATGAAATAAAAATTGGGAGGGAGGGAGAAAAGTCTGAATTTGGTATACTTGTTCTGGGTCAGTACTAAAGCCTGAACATAAGCATGAAATCCAGGAAACCAACATTCTCAGAAGATGTGAGTAGTGGCAGCCTACATACATTCTGCATAACAAATATTCTATAAATCAAAAATAATATACACTGAGTGGCCAGCTTATTATGACCACCTGATGTTTGTAGTCAAATTAGCTATGATTAGCTATAATTTCGCACTGAAGTTGCTAGAGGGCCAGACCATTATAAATAGGGAAGCAGGTTGTTTACCACGACAGTAGAAGTGATTTTTTTCTGAAGATATGGCTAAACAACGCGATTTAACAGCCTTTGAACGTGGGATGATTGTTGACGCTCGGAGCCATGGAGCGAGTATCAGCAAAACAGCAGAATTCGTTAAATGTTCAAGAGCAGCTGTTGTTAAAGTGTTTAAAGACTGGACTGTGAGCCGAAAATCTGGGTCTGGATGTGCGAATTGTGGCCGTCAGCGACTAGTCAATGTTAGGGCAGAACGGAGAGTGGCAAGACTGGTACAAGACAACAGGAGGGCAACAGTGCAGTGTCAGATTCCTCGCATCACCTTTCAACATCTCGTGGAGTCACGAGGCGGCCCAACGGAGTCATCTCGTGGCCCAACGAAGTACTGATGGGGTGGTCATAATAATCTGGCCACTCAGTGTATATCCCTACGTACCATGCACAGGTAGACACAAATTTGCTATTTTGCTATTAGTGATCATGCATCCTGTCATCTTACATTTAAGGACTCATGGTGATGATAGTTAATACATCATCCATACTGTCTATTATGTTAATGGGTTATAATGCGAGAAGACTAGCTTGTTCATTGTCCCTGAGACAACTGTCCAAATACACCCATCCTTTAGATAATCCTATGTCAAGATTTGAGTTTTTTTGCATTAATAGTAGGAAATGTTTTTCACTCTTCTACCCCATATTGTCAGTAAATATGTAGTGTTCATTAAGTGAGACTTCTAATAGATATTAAAACTGGCAAACTGTCTTCTTTTCTTGCAAGGAAGTTCACCACAAAATTCCTAGGGTCAACCTTACTAAGTTAGCTACATTACTTTATATATAATATAATATAAAATGTTCTGACACATTGGTCCCATCTATAGGTGCGCTGCAGTCAACCCCAGAGCCGTTAGGAGAATGTGAGCTGGAGGCACCTGGTATAGCAGGACTATCCCCCATATCTAAAATTAGACATGTTGCAGCTGTGTGGTGGTAAGGCAACATAAAAAGGCTCAGGGTAAGAAGCAAGTCCCCACAGGTACTCACAAAACTCAGACAATTGGTAGCAATTGAGGGTCAGCTAGCCAGAGGTAAAGAAAGTCACTGTAGGCAGGTAGCAAGAACGGGCCGAAGATTGAAATTCCATGTGGTTCTTTGCAAGGAGGAGCAGCAGCAAGGAGATGCTTCCTCAATGCTGTATGGTAGGATAGAGAGCAGGTGATACTCTACCCAGAAGATGACAACAGTGCCCCACACAGCGTTAACCCTTTCCACAATAAAAGGTCACTTTCTGGCTTTCCCCTCAACATCCAGTACAACTGGGTTGGGATGCGGTACTCCAAAGGCTAGGCTGAGGAAGACCACACCAGAAAGTTGCATTTAAAAAGACAAAGCTCTACCAGCAATGTAGGGTAGCACTGGATGGAGGGAAAAAATTGAAGAAGGAAAAAAGGTGCTAGCAAAAAAAAAGAATTAGGCCCCTTTCACTTGAGCGGTCCGTTTTTCTGCCAGACCCCATGGGACGCTCTATGCAAATCTATGGGCAGCCGTGTTAGCCCCAGCTCCGGCTAGGTCTTTTAAAACAGAGGGATCATTGATCCGTTTCGACGGACTGGATCGTGCCGGACAGGGAGTAATCTGGTGTTAATGAACACATGTACTTTTACATCAGATTCCCCATAGACACACACGTGGTCCGGCACTTTCAGTTTTTTCCTCCATTGCAAGATGGAGAAAAAAACTGTATGTACAACAGATGTCACAGTGGTAACATCTGATCCGTACTGCTGTGATCAGGAGAGGATCTGTTGACAAATCCTCTCTTCATCAGCCCACATGAAAGGGGTCTTTGTCTTTAACACTCCAGAGCTGCAGAAATTATGTCTATCTTCCAAGGACACTAACAAAAAACTGAAGTATGCTGGTAATGGGAAGGGTTATCCTGGGCTAGAATACAGTTGTTGTTTTTTGCCAGTGTCCAGTCCTTTTGTAGGCGGCAGTATAACATGACGGTTAAAGACTTCTTGTGTCCCACAATGGATGAGAAAGAAAAACTGCTCAGATAGTGAACCATCATCATTCAGTTTCAAACTGTAGCACACTTCAAAATATGATACGCGGTAATTATTTTTAATGTCCTGATTAACTTGCAGGTTCCCCAATCTAGGAATTCTTCATGTCACAAAGAAGAAAGTGATTGAGATACTGGAAGGGCGTATGACTGACGCTTTTAAGAAAGGATACAACGCTGGCCTTTTGGTTCATCCTGAGTTAAACTACCAATATTCAGGGGATAGATTACTGACTGGTGGGTTATATTTTTAATGTTCATCATGATTTCCCTTTTTCTTTTGCTTGGTAATGTTGAAGTAAATTAGTTGTTTTCAATATTAAGATGCAAAAATGTCCTTAAGTGGTGCTTGTTTGCTAACATTTTAGCTGCCTCTTAAGTGTGTCTATCCTGGCTTTTTTATTCTGTTTGGCTAGTTCCCTGCCTCCTCCATGTTCGCTGTCAAAATATTTTGCCTACTGATATGACATCAATCAGTTTACCTTCCATTGGGGGTATTTATGAAGCCTTTGAAACACACACACTTGTGCACACATTTTTTATGTGTTTTTGGGCACTTTAACTCATTGTAAATCTTCCCATTTATGTTCAGTGGGCTCTCATCTGCATATCCAATGGCCTGACTCATTTTGTTCCAGAGCACAACAGGCCTCCTAGAGTCAGATGCATTTCTTTTAGCCATGTATGCACTTTGACATACCATTTCAAATTGATAAGCATTTACCGTATAGTGCATACAAAGCCATTGTACCATGGGTTTACATGCTCACTACAATACAAGTACACATGCGTCAAAGTGCCTAAATGTATGGATCATACTAACTGAAAAATGATGTGTCACTTTTTAAATAACTTGTTTCCAAATTAGTTTGATGCAGGTTTTGAAATTTTCTGATATATGCCTGTACTTTATCTCACAGCTACTACTATCCATATAAATAGAAAAACTCAGGAAAGTTGGTCTACCATGTTAGGACACTCGTGTATAGTCCTCTACTACACCAGGCTCCTTCTAACCTCCATTATACCTTATGACTAGACATGAGGGAAATTGAGAGTGATTTCTTGTGAAATTTCAATGAAAATCTGGCGTTTTCAACAAAATGTCGCTATTTGGAAAAATGCTTTGGCACAATTAGGGTAATTTTTTGATGAGTGCTGTTGGATTTAAATAGCTTCACAAATACAAAGAATAGTAAATGAAATTAATGAAACTACCCTAAATACACAAAAAAATACCTAAGCAGCTAAAGAAGAACAAAAGTGAAAGTTTCCACTTCTGCAAACTTTCACCAACAGCAGCAAAGTGAACGTTTCTGAAATTACTCCACACATCACTATTTATTGTTAAACTACTTCCTATTCCTACAAACCCTAAGTTACTGCTCACCCTGACCGGGCCAGGTGCTGTCTTAGAAGCTCTCTGAAAAACGCTTCTTTTCAAGTGGTACAATTCAAATTAGATTAATTGGGTAAACTGTGTTCTAGCATAGTGCAATGTTTCTTGGAAAATGTAAATACTTCAGTGAGCAGGTGCTCTGTTGATGTTTTCCTTTATTATAAACTGGTAACCCTTCTCGATCCCCAAATAAGCAATTGGAGAATTCAGTATTGCTGTGCCTAAGAATATGGATTCTTTCACAACCTGCAGTAAAAATCATACCTGGCATCTGCTGCTATCAAATTGTCTGTAAATAAAATGCCTCACAATAGTGTGCTAGAGATTGGTCAGAGACAGTAGTACTATGTGACAATAGTAAAGGAAAGGTTCCATATACCTATGTCCTGAATATGTAAGTAGTCTCCAAATACCTGTGTGTTCTCCATTCACATTAGATTTTTTGCAAGAGCCTTTACAGTATATTGGAGCTGTCTTGCTTTCCTTTGTTTTGGGTTAGTAGCTGTCATGTTGATCCTGCCTTTCCTACCTAGTCAGCCACTGACCTGCTAGTTTGTCAGTCTGAACTCTTGTCCTGCATGCTTCCTTCTTGTCAGTGATGCACTAGGATGGACTTTTTCAAACAAGGCAGTGGGTTAGCTTACAGTTTTCTATCCTTACAGGTTCCATTTAATCCAGTGGTTCTCAACCTTTCTAGGGCCGGGACCCCTTGGTAACATTTGCCAAGTTGTGGTGACCCCCAACGGTAAAATTTAGGGTTGTCGCGGCTGCTGCAGCGACATCTGGCAGCGTGGCGGGAGAACTGACACTGCTGCGCTAGGAGAGGGCTGAGGAGGACTCTCACCTAGCACAGCAGAAATCACACAGCGACCCACAGGTTGAGAACCACTGTTGTAACAGCTAAAATGGCAAACCATATAACAAGCCGAGGGTGTCAGCTTTTATTATTAATAATAATGATGATAATCTAATAGCTATCTAATAGTGGGAGACTCCCGGCGACCCCTGGCAAATTGTCATTCGACCCCCGAAGGGGTCCCGACCCACAGGTTGAGAACCACTGATTTAATCCAAAGTGTGCATACGCAAATCTATTTTAGACTGTACACTTACAAATATCATTTATAGAACATTTACTAAAACATTTGTTATTTTGTGTTGTAGAGAGAGAAAAAGAGATTATTCGTCAAGCTGCTTATCAACAATCGAAAGACATAGACCTGAGCGTTGTACGACTTATGTTCACTGCTTTCCTACCTGATAGCAACGGAAGCTTCACCAGACGACTGGAACCTGTTGTATCAGTTCCCATCTTTGATAGTAGTAAGCAAGCTATTCTTTAAATATAACAATATAGTACATTCTGAGAGCAAACTTTTAGACCCTAACTACCAAATGTTCCATGTGACCCCCCCGTATTTTGCTGTGCTAGACATACCTACATTGACATGATATAAGTCCCCCATATCAATTTTATCTCTAGTTCCTCAGCTCCATGTCACCTCCTTCCTTGCTAGATATTCTTTTTTACACTGCAGTATGCCACATACTGCAGTGTATAAACAGTATGTCACATACTGCAGTGTAAAAAAAAAAAATGTTTGACTTTTAAAACTGTGAATATAGCCCTACAGCAGAGGTAATCTTTACAATCCTTTACATTTGGTATTATTTATTTTATTATATTTATTTATATAGTGCCGACAATTTATGCAGCGTTTTAAAAATGTACATTCACATCAGTGCCTGCTCTCAAGGAGCTTACAATCTAAGAGCCTTTGAAGCCCGTGGACGTGCATCAAAACAAACTTCCCCCTGTGAACAAAAAAAAGTGAACCGTGACATCACAGCACACAAAAACGTGCACAAGGGTGCAAGGTCCTTCAAAAGAAGGGACCTAATTTCCCGCCCCCCGGGGCGCAAGGCTCCTGACAGGGGTTGAGACTGTTGGTCCACCAACCCAAAGGCCGGTGGACCCCGAACCTTTTGGGGACCTGCCGAAACAGGTCCCTCACAGTACTAGGCAGGGGGGCTCTCCCGAAGAGAGACCCTCCTCTTGGGTGGGAGGAGACAGAGAACCCTATATAAGGGCACAGAATCTCCTCCCAGCATCAGGAATAGGCCCCGAAGAAACCTGCACCTTCCGCATCTGTGGGTCAAAATTTGAAAATAAAAAAGTGCCAAACGTGCAAGAGTGCATAAATAAATCTAAAGTGCCAGTGCCCCACGCTGACAGGCCTTAGGGGCCAGAGTGCAAAAATATTGCCCCGGACTAGCCATAAGGCCTGTCCAAGAGGCGTTGTGCAGAAATAAGCAATATGGTGTGTGACCGAGTGCTACAGTGAGTCCTGTGGGGTCCCGTACCCAAGTGACTTTCTGAGCACCCCTGGGACGCCACCCCCAGGGGGCACAACACCACGGGCTTCTGCCGCCCCCAACCCTCCAGCCAGACCAAGCTTCGCATCTGTTCAGTCAGAAAGCCATGTACTGAGCTGTTCCCCTCTCACAGGAAGCAGCCCCACACGCTCTTTTACTTCAGCGAGTACTAAGTAACCATCCCCCGCAAGGACGGTTCTTTTCCCCACCAAAAACTGATAAGAACAGATACGACACTTCATCTTAGCCAAAAGGCCGAGAAGCCCTGTCTCACATACCGATATCCTAGGGCCATTTTGGACAGAAGCCGATCAATCTACCAGCATGCCTTTGGAGTGTGGGAGGAAACCCACACAAGCACAGGGAGAACATGCAAATTCGATGCAGATACTGTCCTAGCCAAGATTCAAACCAGGGACACCAGTGCTGCAAGGCAAAAGTGCTAACCACTAAGCCACTGTGCTGCCCACCTGCTTAAACTTGATTGCAAATGCAACAGAAGTATGTTTAAATCTACTGTATGTTATCACTGTAGCTAATACATGAGTACATTTATCTAGGGGTCCATTTAGAAAGCAGTGATATGGCCCTATTGCAACAATACTGCTGCTTTAAAAAAACACATTTATAAAGCACATTTACAGATGTGTTTAGTGCTCCGCTGGCTTTAGGACCCTTAAGCCAGCAGAGTTATTTTAAAGTAAAGAAAAAAATGGGAAGAAAGACATGGCAAAGTTATGTGACTGGATTGCTGCATTAAGCAGAGATAACTCTATGATTTACTGCAGGCTTCACACTGTGGTCTGCATTTGATGATGGGGCTGCAAAATGTAGGCAGCTATGCAGAGAAATCTACCAGTGGATATCGGATAGCAATATCAATTGAGCCCCTAGTTTGCTTATGTGCTAGTCCTCAATTCTGTAATATGGAGTGTGGTTCAGGCCTTCTTCAAATATGTTCAGTGCATTACCACATGAGTGTTAACATTTGCTTTTTTACACATTAATATGCGTTTCGGTAAGGCAGCCCATTCAGACTGAATGCCACTGGAGTGTGGATTGTGTATTACAGTGTCTTGTGGTAACACACAATAAAACATGCGTTTTATTGTACCAGTGTGATGCCCACCCTAAATGAATGGGAGAATTTTTTACTGTGTCTCACACTAGATTGTCTGGGGCCTTTTAAAATCCTTATAAAGTCAGACCTGGCCATATGCACTAGACCTTGATCTTACTCTGTGCCTAAGGATGTAAAACAATGGACTGTCAGGTATGCAATCAAAATATAAAAATAAAATAATGGCTTATATGTTCATACTTTGTCGTTTATTTATTACAGGTATTTTATATGGAAAGCACAATTTTACATACAGTAGTTGCACATTCACATCAGTCCCTGCCCTCAAGGAGCCTTCAATCTAAGGTCCTTATCTCACATGCATACATACATGGGTGTTTTAGACAGGAGCCAATTAACCTGCATGTTTTTGCAGTGTGGGAGGAAACCCACACAAGCACAGGGAGAACATGCAAACTCCTTGCACACAATGTCCTGACCAGGATTTGAACTGGAGACCCTCAGTACTGTAAGGAACAAGTGCTAGCCACTGTGTCTCCCCATAGACAAAGTACTGTGTAGACAAAACTGATGTTTGTGTATAAATATAATTCATATCTATTTTAGTGAGTTTTTATTTTTAGTATGCATCCATAGTTTGTCTTTAATTAGTACATGCACATCTCATTAGAAGTCAAATATTTTATCGTATACATATAATATATTAGGAACAAACTGGTACTTGGACAGTTGACATTTTACAGGAAATAGTGCCATTATATGACACATTTATATTTAAAAAAAAAAGTTTAGGAGCTGTTTATGTTGCCAGCATTAATCATGTATTTTCAATTAAAGCAAAAATGGTTTCGTCAATTGATATACTATATATATAGTACTTTATTGATGACATAGGCCTTGAATGAGTTGAATGAGTCTGTGGTTTTTTTAACCTGTTTTATTTGTCCTTATTTTTGGTAGAAGCTCCAAATGCTTCTAATTTGAAAATTGTGAGAATGGACAGGACTTCTGGCTGTGTGACAGGAGCTGAAGAGATTTATCTTCTATGTGACAAGGTTCAAAAGGGTATGTGTAGCTTTGTGATTTATATATTTACTTTTTATTCCTTAACTTGGTTATTTTTTATAATAATGGAGTCCTTATGTTATTGCACTTTTTTTCATATTTTTGATCTTTGTGTTTACTGTCCCCAACCTACAAAATATATGAAATAAATGCATATACATATGTAAGTAACCTAACATACGATTAAGGCACAGTAGTGGACACAATCCCAATGAAAGGACCATTTGCACTTTTGAGTTCATAAATAAAGGACGCCAAACCAAAAGGTAAAGCGTCCAAAAATGACTTTTAATTTTTCACAATTCAATCAAACTAAAAACATCCGCAATGCTTTTCAGGGGCAAAAACACTCCCCCTTCATCAGTGCTTAGAATGGGATAAGGATTTTATCTGATTCAAAAGATACTCTAACCAAATGGATCTCTATATGATTCCAAATAAAGATCTCCTTTAGGACTGAAAATGTAATTGGCACCAGCAGCTGTAGTAAGCAAGATACGGTATCTGTTTATTATCTCTTTTTACTCAATAAATGTTTTAATTTTGTTTGTCCATTGTAGATGACATTCAAATACGTTTTTATGAAGAAGATGAAAATGGCCATATTTGGGAAGGATATGGGGACTTCTCACCCACAGATGTTCACAGGCAGGTATGTAGTGTTTTAGTGTTAAAGGTAGAACTGGTAATTATCATTTAAATAAAAGCTCACATCTAAGATGGAAAAATGTGTATGAGATTGACTCTGTTATTACAAGAAACAGTAGGAACAAGATGCCTGTGCTGTACCATAGAGCAGACAGGTTTGATGGGATCTATTTAGGCTGTTATTGGTTGTCACAACGAGGCTTTGTCAGCCTAGACCTAATTTCCCGCCCCCCGGGGCGCAAGGCTCCTGACAGGGGTTGAGACTGTTGGTCCACCAACCCAAAGGCCGGTGGACCCCGAACCTTTTGGGGACCTGCCGAAACAGGTCCCTCACAGTACTAGGCAGGGGGGCTCTCCCGAAGAGAGACCCTCCTCTTGGGTGGGAGGAGACAGAGAACCCTATATAAGGGCACAGAATCTCCTCCCAGCATCAGGAATAGGCCCCGAAGAAACCTGCACCTTCCGCATCTGTGGGTCAAAATTTGAAAATAAAAAAGTGCCAAACGTGCAAGAGTGCATAAATAAATCTAAAGTGCCAGTGCCCCACGCTGACAGGCCTTAGGGGCCAGAGTGCAAAAATATTGCCCCGGACTAGCCATAAGGCCTGTCCAAGAGGCGTTGTGCAGAAATAAGCAATATGGTGTGTGACCGAGTGCTACAGTGAGTCCTGTGGGGTCCCGTACCCAAGTGACTTTCTGAGCACCCCTGGGACGCCACCCCCAGGGGGCACAACACCACGGGCTTCTGCCGCCCCCAACCCTCCAGCCAGACCAAGCTTCGCATCTGTTCAGTCAGAAAGCCATGTACTGAGCTGTTCCCCTCTCACAGGAAGCAGCCCCACACGCTCTTTTACTTCAGCGAGTACTAAGTAACCATCCCCCGCAAGGACGGTTCTTTTCCCCACCAAAAACTGATAAGAACAGATACGACACTTCATCTTAGCCAAAAGGCCGAGAAGCCCTGTCTCACATACCGATATCCTAGGGCCATTTTGGACAGAAGCCGATCAATCTACCAGCATGCCTTTGGAGTGTGGGAGGAAACCCACACAAGCACAGGGAGAACATGCAAATTCGATGCAGATACTGTCCTAGCCAAGATTCAAACCAGGGACACCAGTGCTGCAAGGCAAAAGTGCTAACCACTAAGCCACTGTGCTGCCCACCTGCTTAAACTTGATTGCAAATGCAACAGAAGTATGTTTAAATCTACTGTATGTTATCACTGTAGCTAATACATGAGTACATTTATCTAGGGGTCCATTTAGAAAGCAGTGATATGGCCCTATTGCAACAATACTGCTGCTTTAAAAAAACACATTTATAAAGCACATTTACAGATGTGTTTAGTGCTCCGCTGGCTTTAGGACCCTTAAGCCAGCAGAGTTATTTTAAAGTAAAGAAAAAAATGGGAAGAAAGACATGGCAAAGTTATGTGACTGGATTGCTGCATTAAGCAGAGATAACTCTATGATTTACTGCAGGCTTCACACTGTGGTCTGCATTTGATGATGGGGCTGCAAAATGTAGGCAGCTATGCAGAGAAATCTACCAGTGGATATCGGATAGCAATATCAATTGAGCCCCTAGTTTGCTTATGTGCTAGTCCTCAATTCTGTAATATGGAGTGTGGTTCAGGCCTTCTTCAAATATGTTCAGTGCATTACCACATGAGTGTTAACATTTGCTTTTTTACACATTAATATGCGTTTCGGTAAGGCAGCCCATTCAGACTGAATGCCACTGGAGTGTGGATTGTGTATTACAGTGTCTTGTGGTAACACACAATAAAACATGCGTTTTATTGTACCAGTGTGATGCCCACCCTAAATGAATGGGAGAATTTTTTACTGTGTCTCACACTAGATTGTCTGGGGCCTTTTAAAATCCTTATAAAGTCAGACCTGGCCATATGCACTAGACCTTGATCTTACTCTGTGCCTAAGGATGTAAAACAATGGACTGTCAGGTATGCAATCAAAATATAAAAATAAAATAATGGCTTATATGTTCATACTTTGTCGTTTATTTATTACAGGTATTTTATATGGAAAGCACAATTTTACATACAGTAGTTGCACATTCACATCAGTCCCTGCCCTCAAGGAGCCTTCAATCTAAGGTCCTTATCTCACATGCATACATACATGGGTGTTTTAGACAGGAGCCAATTAACCTGCATGTTTTTGCAGTGTGGGAGGAAACCCACACAAGCACAGGGAGAACATGCAAACTCCTTGCACACAATGTCCTGACCAGGATTTGAACTGGAGACCCTCAGTACTGTAAGGAACAAGTGCTAGCCACTGTGTCTCCCCATAGACAAAGTACTGTGTAGACAAAACTGATGTTTGTGTATAAATATAATTCATATCTATTTTAGTGAGTTTTTATTTTTAGTATGCATCCATAGTTTGTCTTTAATTAGTACATGCACATCTCATTAGAAGTCAAATATTTTATCGTATACATATAATATATTAGGAACAAACTGGTACTTGGACAGTTGACATTTTACAGGAAATAGTGCCATTATATGACACATTTATATTTAAAAAAAAAAGTTTAGGAGCTGTTTATGTTGCCAGCATTAATCATGTATTTTCAATTAAAGCAAAAATGGTTTCGTCAATTGATATACTATATATATAGTACTTTATTGATGACATAGGCCTTGAATGAGTTGAATGAGTCTGTGGTTTTTTTAACCTGTTTTATTTGTCCTTATTTTTGGTAGAAGCTCCAAATGCTTCTAATTTGAAAATTGTGAGAATGGACAGGACTTCTGGCTGTGTGACAGGAGCTGAAGAGATTTATCTTCTATGTGACAAGGTTCAAAAGGGTATGTGTAGCTTTGTGATTTATATATTTACTTTTTATTCCTTAACTTGGTTATTTTTTATAATAATGGAGTCCTTATGTTATTGCACTTTTTTTCATATTTTTGATCTTTGTGTTTACTGTCCCCAACCTACAAAATATATGAAATAAATGCATATACATATGTAAGTAACCTAACATACGATTAAGGCACAGTAGTGGACACAATCCCAATGAAAGGACCATTTGCACTTTTGAGTTCATAAATAAAGGACGCCAAACCAAAAGGTAAAGCGTCCAAAAATGACTTTTAATTTTTCACAATTCAATCAAACTAAAAACATCCGCAATGCTTTTCAGGGGCAAAAACACTCCCCCTTCATCAGTGCTTAGAATGGGATAAGGATTTTATCTGATTCAAAAGATACTCTAACCAAATGGATCTCTATATGATTCCAAATAAAGATCTCCTTTAGGACTGAAAATGTAATTGGCACCAGCAGCTGTAGTAAGCAAGATACGGTATCTGTTTATTATCTCTTTTTACTCAATAAATGTTTTAATTTTGTTTGTCCATTGTAGATGACATTCAAATACGTTTTTATGAAGAAGATGAAAATGGCCATATTTGGGAAGGATATGGGGACTTCTCACCCACAGATGTTCACAGGCAGGTATGTAGTGTTTTAGTGTTAAAGGTAGAACTGGTAATTATCATTTAAATAAAAGCTCACATCTAAGATGGAAAAATGTGTATGAGATTGACTCTGTTATTACAAGAAACAGTAGGAACAAGATGCCTGTGCTGTACCATAGAGCAGACAGGTTTGATGGGATCTATTTAGGCTGTTATTGGTTGTCACAACGAGGCTTTGTCAGCCTGTATACATACTATACTCCTAACAATATGGAATCCCCCATGGACAAAATTGGTATAGTAGTACCAGCAAAAAACAGTTTGAAAGTCTAGTAGTATAAAGATAGCACCTTAGATGCACCTTAGATGCACAAAAGTAGCACCTCTTAGTTTTGCCCATACCATTTATGTTGTAGTCAAGCTGGTATGCATTTTAAATGCATCTTTTTCCTTGCTCCCAAACCAAAAGACCAAAACACACTAACCTTTTCTAGTCTCTTCAAAACTTGAAATAAACTTAATAGCTGAGTTATGACCCATAATATAATATAAGTACAATACTACATGAAAGAAGGTTAAATTTGAACTCTGGGAATTAAAAAAAATGAACGCTTTAAGTAGGGCTACGCTCTCACTGCATGGGTTAAATGCTCGTTTTGGTCTAGGGGCTGGAAATAAAAAAGATATACATACCCGATCCTCGATCCTGCCTGGCTGCTAGACCAGTCACCGCCGCCTCTTTTCCCCAGTGCTCCGATCCATTCACCTGCATTAGACAAGAGGGCACTGAGAGCCAGAGTGGAGGGGAAAAGTGGTGAGCGCAGAATCAAGGATCAGGTGAGTATATCTTCTATATTCCAACCTCAAGGCAAAAATTAACAGTTAAGCCTTGCAGTGTGGATGTAGCCCATATTCCTAACAGCTGGTGTTCCTCTTTAAGGTGCTAAATCCCATGACAATCTCTCACCATAAGACCATGGGGACTGTAAGAAATGAACATGCATACTTATATAGCCTGTTTGGGTGGTTGAAACATTGATGTTCATATTATTACAGTATACAGGTGCCATATGTGAAAACTTGGCAGTGCTTTTTAGTAAGTTGAACAGGTTCCCCAAACTCTAAGCAATAAGCTAAATGCAAAGTTGAAATACATATATCTTAACTCTTTAATTGGCCACAAAAATGTATACCTTTGCCAGGCTTGTGACCCAGCCACCATTGCCATTCTGCATTGGCAGATCAGCATCCTTTCTGCAGAATACACTGCAGTTAAGCAATTCAGCTTAGTCTATGACCCAGGCTATAACTGGGCAATGAAGCACCAGAAGCACAATGATGAGGTCATCTCTCTTCCCTCCTGTGAGCATGCTTATACAGTATGTAAAATTAACAGCCACTGGGCAAAGCACTAGAGCTCTGCTCTGGTTCTCTTTCTGCCTCTCTCTCTCTCTGCCCCTCTAACCAACTCCTCTCTCTCTCTCTCTCTCTCTCTCTCGATCTTAAATTAATACATAAGGGGATGAAACTGTTTTTATATCTGTTTCGGGTTCAGTTTAAGAAAGTTGACACATAAAAGCTAGATCCTTACAGTAATAAGTTCTATTTGTTTTGTTTTTTTTAGTTTGCAATCGTATTTAAAACTCCTAAATACAAGGATATCAATATTACTAAACCTGTTTCTGTGTTTGTTCAACTTCGGAGAAAATCAGATCTTGAGACCAGTGAGCCCAAACCATTTTTATATTATCCAGAAATAAAAGGTAAGAAACTATATGAAAACACCAACCATCAAGAATTCATTGCTAAAAATGATGGCATTTGCTATCTTGAAATGCTCATATAAAGGAAATGCAGTGGGAGAAAGGGCGTCAAAGGGTTTAACCGATCAGTTTTCTTATGTCATATGTGATCCTATAGCTATATAAAGTGTGACTCAGTCATTGAGCGAGCACGATAAAGTTATCATTGCCCGTTTTTCTCCTTGCTATATTTTTAGCCTGTTTACAGGATTATTTAACGGTTACTTAAAAGTTTCTTCAAACAAACAGAACCTTGTAAAGTCAAATCTTGTAAAATCAATTAAATGATGTAATGATGTTTATCTCTGTTAAGTTGCGACAAACTGTCTTTTCTATTCAAACACTGAAACCGTAGCATTTCTGTAAAACGATTGCTCCAGTGATTAAGAACTGTAGGGTAATGGGGCATCCTGCATACAGAATCAAATTTCTGTTTGCAAGTTGCATGCAAAAATTCAGGGGTCTATTCACTAAGCTGCCGAAGGATCTAGCCGTAGCTTCAGCTAGCTTCGGCCCCAGGACCCCTTCGGTTCAGTAGAACCGAAGGGCTGCTATACGGGCTATTCACTATTGGAATTGTCAGCAGACAACTCACCCTGCTGAGGATGCTTCCTGTGAGAGATAGCATGCATCTGCAGGTCCTTGTGGGTTCCAATTATTTGGAGTCAGGCTCTCCAACTTTGGCTGATTCTCAACATTTAGGGGAAATTCCTCAAAATATCCTCCCTGCCCCTGTCCTTAATTAGGTATCGTGCTTAGCTCTCTGGCTAAGGTTCCTCCCCACTTCGTGTCACTGCGGTGTATGCTTTGCAGGACCTAAAGTGTTTTTTTTCCCTGCCAGGTTTAACCTCTTGCCGTCCGCCCGTAGTAAAAAAACGGACGGACGGCACTGCTACATCTATGCAGGGTGTCCTTGTTGACAGGTTTGCTTGTCCTACTGTTTCTGGTGTTGCTGCATCAGTATAGAGTGGTTGTCTTCCCACTCCTGTCCATTATGGTAGAGGGTACTTCTTGCACACATTTCCCCCTTTGTATTGTAGTATCTCTGACTTAAGGTGGCTCCTTTTGGGTTGTTTCCAAGGGACTTTAATCTCCTAGAATATAGTAATTATGCTTAGTTTATATGTGATTGAATGGCTGTCTTAAGGTGCCCATACACCTTACGACCATCGCAAGACTTTTGTCTTGCGATGGTCGTATGCTTCTTGAAAGCCCGTACGATCTGCCCACCTTGGACGGGCAGATCGTACTTGCGATCATCGAAAGCCCGCCCCGCTGAGGGGCGGGCTTCCGATGACGGCAATGCAGAACGGGCAGTGTGCGCGTGCGCACACCGGCCCGTTCCGCAGCTATCGGGCGAGCAGGCTAGAAACCCGCCGAGAATCGTACGATTCTCGGCGGGTTTTCGAACATGTTGGCTCGACAAAAGACGTGCGACCGTACAGTAGAAACGGTCGCACGTCTTAGTTCACACTGCTCGATTCTCGTACGATCGTGGGATTTCGCCCGATTCTCGTACGAGAATCGAGCAGTGTATGGGCACCTTTAGTCATCCCTATTTCTTGGAGCCTTTCTTCCCTGATGCCCTGGGTCAGAAGTTTAAGACTCAGACCTTTTGTCATCTCTAGACTGACTGGTCTTCCTTTGTCTACCTGTTGTCCATGTATCCCTTTGGAATCTGTTTTAAGGCTGGGAAACCTCCCTTGATGGATGATAAAGAAAATATTTTGATACTTAAAATCTTTTTCCTGGAGTAACACAGGTCCTGTCCCTCTGTGTTTTCTTGTCCCTTAGTACTGCTTGCTCACAAAGCTGAAGCATGGTGGTTAGGGCAGGGTTATACAGAAGCTGGCATTAAAAAAAAAAATCCTGTTTGCCAGTGTCCAAACTTTTTATATGCAGTAGCATTTAACACTAGTGTTTATACTTTCCTGTGTTCCTCAATGTACTTCAAGAAAATTATTTTATGGTAAGTACGAAAAACTGTATTTTGCTTGCGTGAATACTGCTCCTGAGCTTTGTCATGTGACCCAAAGCCTAGGTATGGTCTGTCTGTATCTAGCACATGTAGGTGCTGTACATTACTGAAGCCTTTAGAACCCCTATTGTTTCCTATCATAGAGACCATCAGCGATCATAAGCATTGCTTTGAGCAGGTTTTTTTTCACTCTGACATTTTCAGTATTTCTTAAAGCATAATCTGTCTTCACTAGACAAAGAAGAAGTTCATCGAAAGCGTCTAAAACTAATGCCTAATTTTTCTGATGGGTTTGGTGGAAGTGGAGCAGGATCCGGAGGCAGCGGCAGTGGTGGAGGAGGTGGTGGCAATATGTACGGTGGTGCAGGAGCATCCGGAACTTGTGGTGGTAAATATAGACATATTTTTCAACTTTGTGTTGATTTACTTTTTTGATATTTTAATGATATTTTAGGACTCTTCTTTTTCACCTTGATGAAAGTGTAATGAAAAGGGTTTTAAAAGGTACAGGTTTCTATTACAAAGTGTATACGCAATATACTGCTTAAATGCATCAATTAAATTAATTATTTTAAGGTTTTAAAAATAATAAATTGTTCTTTTCAACAGAATATTATTCATGCAGTGCTTAGTAGATGTTGGAAAGTGAAATCACTTACCGTGTTTCCCCGAAAATAAGACACTGTCTTATATTTTTTTTCCCCCAAAAAAACACACTAGGTCTTATTTTCGGGGGAAAACTGTATGTACAGAAATCAGGACCGTGACTGTCACGCAGAGCAGAGATACCGGCATGTAATGTACTGTATCATACAGTACTGGAGAAGGGGAGTGAAAGAATGGTACTGTGACTGTCACACAGTGTCACAGTACGGTACCTGGCTGCAGCTGTCTGGAGCTCTCTGATGCCGTCCAGGCATCCTAAAAGCCGAGGCAGTCGGGCGGAACGGCTTGCAGACGGGACGGAGGGAGGGAGGGAGCTGCGGCCAGAAAGTTTTTTACGATCTTTACTTATTTTTAGACCGTACATGCAGACGGGTGGACCGGCGGGCAGACGGGAGGGAGGGAGGGAGCTTTGCGATCGTGACATTTTATTAGACCGTACATGCAGACAGGAGACAAGCTGCACATGTCATTGATTTTTACACTCAGACCCCTTGCTGGCTGCTTGGATGCAGCAATACATGTGCGCCCCCTACTGCCGAACTAGGTCTTATTTTCGGGGTAGGTCTTATATTACGGAAATCCCTGAAGTTAGCACTAGGTCTTATTTTCGGGGTAGGTCTTATTTTCGGGGAAACACGGTAGCAGTTTACTATAGCTCTCAGGGTGAGATCTTTGTGCTCAATGACCATTTGAAGTTTCCAGGCAAAGTACTGTACATAGGTAAATTGAGTGTGCAGCAAAACACTAATTTGTAAATATCTCATACATTGTTTTGTTTGTAATTCAGCCCCAGGGCTAGTTAAAAATCTGTCCCACAGACAATAGGCTGCATCTAAAGAACTCTGCATTCTGTTTAAAATTAGCAGTCTATTTGCAGTGGTCCGATACGCCCCTGCCTCAGCCAGAACTACAGCTCTGCAATATACAATGCTGACACTTGCTGCTCAGGGATAGTGACTTTTGCTGATTGCAGAGCTGTAGTTTCGAACTGAGGCAGGGTCATGACCACTGCAGATACACAACTGCAGATACATACAGAGTTCAGGGGTCTTTATCTGATTTCACACAATGTGCAGCGGTCTTCATCTGCTTTGTCCCCTGCCTCAGTCAGAACTACAGCACTGCAATCAGCAATGCTTGCTCTTCCCGAGTAGGAAGTGTGAGCATTGCTGATTGCAGAGCTTTAGTTCTGACTGAGGTCGGAGGGTATGTACGACTGCTGCAGGTAGACCGCTGATTTCACACTGAGTGCGGGGGTCTTTGTCTCTCACGGTCTTAAAAACTAAAACAGCCATTACATGGGAGCCCCATTCTCCTTTGCATTCCACTTTTGAAAAGTGGAATGCAACAGAATGAGTCGGGACACCCCAGAATGGGCTGTAGCACACTATATATCTAAGTGGGTGGATGACTAGAGAAGTATTTGGGGAAATATTGCCAGTGGAGTATACAGAAGGTATAGAAAGCCCAAGAAATTACACTGTACCTGAAATATCACAATGTGCACAGGCCCTTTAATTTAACATCTATTACGACTTTTCGTAGGTGCCATATGGTGTTCCAAAGGATAAATGCAGTATTGTCTTACATTACAACATACAGACACAGGAGTGCAAACTATGTTACCTATTTATTGTTCCATTTCACTAGTACAAAGAAATTAAAGACCCCCCTCCTCCCCCAGTCACACCATGGCCTAGGCCAAACTTTGGTCTCTTTATGGGCCTAAGTGCAGCCAATAGGAGTGAGATTTTCCTTTAGTTTACATGATGACCAATAGAATTGGGTGACTAGAAAGTACTCACTTCTATTTTCTGTATTGCCTTTCGTTTTCCTATTCATGAGGATCCATCTGATGATGTTCCTTGACACACTACCTTGATACTACCAGAGATTCTGGTAAGCTTGAATCCTAATATTGTGGCTGCAGGTAATGTGAATAAGGTTACCTACTACTGAAATAATTTCTTCAATGATCTTACTATGTGCTGCATGCTGTAGCTTGTGCTACTTAAAAATGCACAATTAAAATAACCATTCCACAATGACTTGAACATTACTCAACATGAAAAGATTTTGTTTTCAGATTGGATATTACAGCCGTGCCTAACTTTGGCTCAACAAGCTGTGACATGCAATTATGCGATGACTGAATATAATTTGGAAATGGATTTGTATGCTGGGAATGTGATCTCAAGAATCACAAAGCCTGTAATACCAGATGCCTTTCAAGCATACTGTACTTATTGCCTTCAGAGAATAGTACAATTGATCTGTGTGTAGACAGATATGATATAAATTAACATTTATTACACTGATTGTGTTAAAGCTACACCATTTGCACAAGATAGGCGCACTCATTGGTTTTTGTTTTTCTCAATTTTCAAAAAATAATCCTAGAATGCACCATAGATTCCTGCTGTTCTAAATGATTACATGCTACACAGTTTAATTTATTTTACCAATGCTAATATTCCAGAAACATATGCATTACAAAAATTATAAATTCTATTTGAACTTTTACTTAGTCTGTGACACTTTATTTTCACCAAACTGTAGTAATCCTTTAAAGTGAACCTTTAAAACGGACTTACATACGTTCTATTCTATGCACACCCAAAAAATTTTATTGAATAGACAGGGCTACTTAGCACACTCTGTCCCTCTTCACCTGCTGCTACTCCTCCTGCCACTTTTGCCATTTCCTGCTTTCAAAATGACACCCGAGGCATGCTTTGGAGTAAAATAAGCAGTAAAACAAGATGGATACTTTTATCTCCAGTAACACTATCTATTTAAACTAACACTGATCAATGTAGAATAATAATTTTTTTTTTAGTTGTTATTTTTCCACATCTTTTGGTCTATAGATTGCATAGAAAATAAAATAATTTTGCAAGACAAAATCACAAAAAAAACACCTTGGATGAATAAACAGACCCATAGTAGAAATGTAAATATTGCCGTGTTCCATAGGGGTATACAACTGTGAGTGGTAAAGTGTTTAAGCATTAAGCAAAGTGTTTAGTCTGTTCCACTGCCTGTTTCACATATATTTATTCATTACCTATAACACGCAATCTAAGCAGAATAAGCAGCTCTCTTACTGATAAGCAAATTATTACCTTTTCTGAAAAGTCAGCAGCTGACCCCCCTGTGAGTGTGAACCCAGCCTTATGCCTAGTGTGATGCAGAGACCAGTGACACATAGCTGACACAGGAAGGTCAGAGATGTCTTTGTCAGATGTGATGTTATTGACAGCCTGGTTTTACTTTCTGTATGCTGCGTGATAGGCAAGATGGCAGCACCCAACAGAGGTAGAACTGGGTATCTGAGTCACATTGAAGTAATCAGTGATCATGTACAAGTAAATTGTTTCTAACCTGAATAGCATCAGAGATTGTTAATCCAGGGAATATCCGATTGCCTTATGGGATCAGGAAGGCATTTTTTCCCCTGTTGGAGCAAATTGAACCATGCTTTATAGGGTTTTTTTTGCCTTCCTCTGTGTCAACAGTGGGTAATTGGGGGCAAAGCGTTCTGTTTAGGCTTTTCAACCTGACTAGCTATGTAACTATTCTGCTCGTGAAAAGGTTTCAACTGACAGCACCTCTAATTTTCTGCCATTGTACATTATTTTTATATCATATTCTTCCTGAATACTTTGACAGGTGTTTCAATAAAATACCCAACAGGCAGTGTAAGGGCTTGTACACACCAATTACGGCGCGTTCCAGAGCAGCAGCTGCTGGATCGCACCCCAACTGCTCACAAAACTTCCCCCTGCATATTGGGGCCCCCGCCCGCAGTGCGATCGGACACGTGGCAAAACATTGCCTGCGTTCCGGACCACTGCAAACGCAAAAAATGCTACATGCTCTATTTTTTGCGTTTGCAGTGGACCTGAATGCAGGCAATGTTTTGCCACATGTCCGATCGCGCTGCAGGCGGGGGCGTGGCTGCGCTGCCACTGACTTCATTTCATTGCCTCGCTCCTCCCGCCCCAGAACGAAGGGGGGAAGTTTTGTGAGCGATTGCGGCTACTGCTCTGAAACGCACCCCAATTGCTGTGAGCAAGGAAAACCGACAAATACCAACATCTTTTTTTATCCTTTTCTTATATAACGTTTTTTTATATATAACGTTTTTATATTAATTCGTTTTAGTATCTCCTGATAATGATTTTAACTAATAATGCCAATGTTTTTGACTCATCAGTAACGGCAGTTTATGCGTCAGATGGGTGTGAGTTAATAGCGGAAATACCGGCAATTGGCTTGATACTGCCATATGACCTTTTGTAGACAAACTCCTGTGATTGTTTATTTTTTAATTTAAAAAGATCAAAATATAGAAGAGTTCCCTTAGGTTCTGATGAAGGGGGCGTGCCCCTGAAACGCGTAGACCTTCTGAACTCACAGGGGCAGAGGACGTTGATTTGTTTCATCCCGTGAGACTCCCGCTGCTAGAGATTTATATTGCATCGTCTCTTACATACTTTTTATTGACCGACCTTTTTGTAAGTATAATTTCAGCTGTGTGCCGTACAAATAAATTACCCTTTACACTATGGAGGCGCTCTGTTTTGTTTTTTGCTGTGAGCAAGCCCTAAGCAGATACACTATTTGACCTTAAATTGTTTTTTTTCCAGGTTATAACTATTCCACGTTCAACTACACCAATAATTATGGAGGACCAAATTTTCATGTCGGCACAATGAACTCCAACACAGGTATGGCACACACTAACCTGTTATTGAAGCAATATTTGTTGACTATTATTTTTACCAAGTAGGTAATATACATTCTAAACATTTTGTTAATTGGTATTAACAAATTCAACAGTTTAGAAAGATATTTAGGATGGTACAGTAATTTACTAGCAGTTATATCAACTAGCTAAAGTTTGCCTGTTCTAGAACTTGAAAGGTTGGAGACATAACAAACAATGCTAAAGAAGTGTCTTAGTGGGCAGTATATGCAGGAGAGGAGTGCAAAGGGTATGACAGCAGGAGAGGAGTGTGACAGTGGACAGTTTGTGCAGGACAGGGGTGAGGAGGTTATGACACTGGGAGATATGTGCAGGAGTGGTGTGTGGTGGGTATGACAGAGGGCAGTGTGTGCAGGAGAGTAGTGCGGATGGTATCATTGGGGACAGTTTGAGTAGGAGGAATATGAAGGGTATGACAGCAGACAGTATGTGCAGGAAAGAAGTACGGAGGGTATGACAGTGCTCAGTATGTGCAGTAGAAGATTGCGGAGTGTATGATGGGAGGCAATGTGTGCAGGAGAGAAGTGCAGAGGGTATGCCAGTGGGCAATATATGCAGTAGAAGGATGCACAGCGTATGGCAGAAGGCAGCATCAGCTGGAGAGGAGTGCAGAGGGTATTACACGGGGCAATATGTACAGAAAAAGAGTAAGAAGGGTATGACTGTGGGCAGTATGTGAAGGAGAGGAGTGTGGAGGGTATGACAATGGGCAGTATGTGTAGTAGAAAAGTCTGGTGGTATGAAAGGGGGCAGTATGTGCAGGAGAGTAGTGCAGAGGGTATAACAATGGGCAATATGTGCAATAGAGGAGTCCAGGGGTATGACAGAGGGCAGTATGTGCAGGAGAGTAGTGCAGAGGATATAACAATGGGCAATATGTGCAGTAGAGAGGTCCTGAAATATTACAGGGTGCGGAAGTTGTTGCGGTTGTTATGTAGGTCCAGTGGAGGTGGCAGGGATTGGGTCAGCAGCACTGTATACTATGAAGGAGGTGGGGTGCATACTGAAAGTGAAACAGGAGGAATGTGTGAGTGACGTTTGGGACCATTTTTTCAGGTTTAATAGCAAGGACTGTGTCAGGACTTTGTTGCCGGAAAGGGACATTAAAGGGACAGCCCTGATAATGTAGTCCTATAACATATGCTAGAGTACCCACAGATCCAACGCACTGCAAGCAAAGAGGGCTGGGAGAGGGTACAAGTTTAGAGATTTGCAATGGAGTTAGGTATTTCCTATGAATGATGAATATTTACCTAAGCCTATCTGACATTTTAGGAGATTTGTATTGGTGTCCTCCAGGGCCTTCTCCCACTTCTCATCATTCAAGTCCCTTGTTTCTTTTTTCCATTTATTCTTTTAATTGTGTTCCAGCTACTCAGACATGTTTTCTTTTTTCACTTGCAGGGTATTACAATAGAGTTGTTTTAGATTATAGGCTTGTTTTAAAGCAGTTCTTTACTTTTGTATTGGACTAGAAATACAAATACCACAAATAAACAAACCATCTTTTGACCATAAATAAAACCTACTCCCGTGTTAGGAATAACTAAGTAAATAGACTCAAGTCTTCCATTTCCTCAGAAGCTGTTAAATACACAAAAACTATGAGCAGCATGGTATAACATGCAAATCCTTTATGTACTTTCAGTATTAGAGCCCCAGTGCGAAGGACTCCAGGAAGGCAGTGATGCCATATACTGTGAGCATATACAGAAATGCCTGGAGGCATTGGTCAAAGAAGGTGACACGGAGACAGAAGGTACAAGTGAGGAACTCTGCAAAGTACCAGGTAAATGCATACAAAGCAGTGGTTGTTACATTTACTGATTTCACAACAAATTTAAAGCATAATGTTTGCTAAAGCTTTTTGTGTTGTTTTGAGAACAGTGGTCAAGGCTTAAAACTGTTTTCAGGTTATTATCCTGTTTGGAGTGATTTTACCTCTTTGATACAACATTTATACTGCCAAAAAGGTGTTTATTTATTGCCATTTATGATATGTCTGTGTCCCTGCAGCTGCTCCTTTTGCTGCACTTTGTGGCTGTCAGCCGCTTATAACCGCACTTGCACTTACACCAGCTGGACCATTGGAAATAATTGGATTGGTTAGAAAACAGTTAGTGGGTAGTTTTCAAGAGTTTAGAAAGCTGATCACTTCAGTTTCCTCTTTATTTCCTTGTCTCTGAACATTTTTGCAGCATTCGGGTGCCTAATGGCACACCTAAACCACTTGTAGATACTAACTGCTTACCAAACAGCACCGAAGCCCTAAAGGTGATAGGTAAACTACATTTGTTAACATTGACTTCACCGTAAAATCCATCATTTGAAATAATTTGTATATTTAATATTGTCTCATGAATACCTTATCCTGATACTTTGGACTACAACATGAGTGGAAAAGGGACAGTGAGATTGCCATAATCTCTGATACTTAGGGCTGGTTCACATTGGCCAATGCTGCAAATCAAAGACAAGTAAAAAAGTGTTGTTTTGTCTAGTTCCTGTTTACACTAATGTGGTCTGTTGATTTGTGTTGCAATAAAATGTTGCAGTGATCATTGTATCTCAGCACAGTGCATTATAACATGCTCCAATGCATAGAATCCACATATAGGTTAAGAAAAAAAAAACCCAAGCACTGCAATGTGTTATAGCAGCGCAACCTTCATAATACACGGCAATGCACACACCTTGTGTGTTATACATTGCCATGTAATGTGGTGTGAGCCAACCCTTAATGAAATACAGAAACTATTTATCCAACAATTTTCTGCCTGGCTCCTTCAGTTTTTCCAGTTGAGATTTTTAGAGCTGGAATCAAACAGTGTATGACCAGCTTTACATAAGTTATCAGATCACATTAAATTGCAGCATAGATAGTTAAAGCAGATGTTGCAATTATCTCTTCTTCCCGGACATTGTAAATATCCACAAGCTTTGCTATGTTACACATATTTTACTGTCATTATTTATAGGTTGTCACTTACTGGAGAAGGCCTTGCGGGTTGCTAAGCGTCATGCTGCTTCCCTCTTTGACTATGCAGTTACAGGAGATGTAAGAATGTTGCTGGCAGTACAGCGCCACCTCGCTGCAGCTCAGGATGAAAACGGGGATAAGTAAGAATTGATTTTGTTGCTTTTATTGCTTTTTTCTTTCTTATTTTTCTACCTTCTTTTTACTTATTACTTTATGATAAATAACTGTTTTAAAATTAAAATCGTTTTACGCGCTTGATATCCAGTGTGTTGCTGGCATGATGCGAAGTTATACAAGTAAACCTGTTATAAGGGAACTGTGTAGGCTGACATGGTTTATATTTTCCTGGAAATGCTAGTTGCGTGTCTCTTTTGCTGACTTTTTAATAGTTTCTGAATCACTGACCAATTATGAAGATCAGGAAAGTCAGAGAAAAACCACTAGTCCTGGTCTTGTTCAGGTCCACTAATGCTAAAATTTGAAACAAGCAAGTCAGTGTGACAACCAAGCACCTGGTATCTTCAGAAGAAGAACTCAGCAAGGCATCCTCCATGTTTCCAATCTAACAGTTCCATTATGTTTGTTTTGTTTGCAGTGTCTTTCATCTTTCTGTTATTCACCTTCATGCTGAACTGGTTAGGATCTTTCTGGACATAACTTCAGGGATCATATGTGAGGATATCATCAATGTGCAAAATGATCTTTATCAGGTATGATGCATCTTTTCTGTCTGCTCAAATAAAGGAACACATCACTTAAATTGACGTGTAGCTGTAGCTAACCGGTACCCACATATAAGGCCCACTAGAGAAGGATCTTTGAAGTGTGTCTAAACCCAAGAAAATGAAAATAACCTGTTGTAGTTGACCAGTTGTTAAATGTGGTGGCTGCATTAGTTTTATAATTCAAGCTTCTTAATATTTTATGTTCACTTGATGATCCATCTAGTAAAGCAATTCCTGTTCCAGGGTGACGTTGTTCACACACTGTGCTGTATCTATAGAGGAGCAGCGGTTTCATACTGGGAGAGGAAGCGTTTTAGGAATACAGAACATCTCCCCCTCTCCATTACATAGAAGAAGGTGTTCTGTAGTCTACAGAGCTAAATTGAGGAGATAACAATGGATGGTGCACAGGACAGGGTGTGGATCTCTAGCAGGATCAACATGTATTGTTTCACTGTTTTTTTAACAAATATTAAAAACACTTTCAATGGCATATTTCACTGACCAAAAGGGAGCAAATAAGGTTTACACACACTTTAAAGTACAACTAAAGGCTCCTGTATAACAGTCTACGTAAGTGCCAAATCCAGTCACTATGTGCTGCACGAGCCTTATAAAGTAAACAAAAAACTTCCTTTACCTTAACTGACTGAGGCAAATCCTCCTTCAACTGCATTGATAATAAGAGTGCTGCAGCACATTTTTCTCTATGAGAGGCCATAGTTCTACTTTAACCTGGAAAACCCCTTAAGGGAAATTTCAAGTATAAAAATTACCAAAAAACCCTACCAGTATATCTAGATAATTTGTGCACTTTCTGTTCTTGAGTTGCTGTAGAAGCCCACAGTGAGGAAATAAATTCCTGCTTAATCTGGTCACACTATGTAATTTACCATATCCCTGGGCAGGATGCAATAGAAAACATGTCATTTATTTTTGAATAAGGAAACCCAATGAGCATTTCATTTTTTAATACATATACATAATATTGTTTTGAACAGCTGGAGAGTGGAAGAGTGTCCCTAAACTATGGCGTTATATAGCTATAACCGGACTTTTTCTGTACATTGAAATTGTTTCGCTGCTCATCCAGCAGCCTATTTAGTGAACTGTAGAAGCCACTGGATGAGTAGCGAAGGGTCTTCAGAGAAAGTCCAGTTGATTTTGATGCAGGGTAAGCTTTGGATAACCATTAAAAGTATTATTCAACATACAGGATTAAATACATATACAGTGAGATGGGGTAAACATAATTTAGGTGAAATACAGAAACTGGGAGGGGTTTGAGTTTATACATAACAATGATTTCTTTCTCATACATTGAGGGACACGGGAAGTCCTAAACCTTCGGGTTATACTGCTGTCTGCAGAAAGGGTATAACCCCTCCCACTTCTAGCATGCCTATGTTTGTTGCTAGTGCCATAGGAGGATGGGTCTTTTTTCAGCTCTGCTGTTTTAAAGACTAAGCTATGATTTTTCTAGCATTTTTTTTCTGTCAAGACCCTTCTGTACACTGCTGCTAGTTTTCCCCACCAAATTGCAGCTATTCAGCAAGGTCGTCCTTAGCCTGGCTTTTGGAGCATGCCTCATCCAGATCCGCCGAAGTGTTTCTTTTGCCGGGTGAGCCTTGGGCACTGGGTTCAATGTGGGCAGTTTCCAGACTGGTTTTGGCTCAGTTAGTTGCGCAGCGCCTTCAAGAGATCTAACTACTGCTGTCACTGACCCACAAATCAATGAGCGCTTAGAACAGTTGTCTGTGGCATTGAACTTTACCTGTGATGGCCTGTTAAAAACTTCCTGGCCTATTTCTCACATTAGTATCTTGTCAGTTTGTGCGCAGGGCCTTTTGACTAAAGTACTGGACTGAGGAACTTTCTTGCAAGAAGTGGATAGGGCTTTATGGTAGGCCCTGATTGCTATCATCAAGGATGCTTCTGGGGGCAGAAGCGTTTGACTTCCCCAGTGGAAGAATCCTAAGGAGTAGACTGCTTAACCATCTCTGTCCATCCCTACTTAGAAGCTTTCCTTTCATGTTAGTTTGCCCTTCCATATCGCAGCCCCCCAAGACTACTAAATACACTGACAACTCCTCCTCAATATATGTCTTTTGAATGTTTTAGCAACCCGGTTGTCTCAGGGCTGCATGGTCAAGTTTTCTTTCCTACTCTCTCCTCGTTTTCTAGCATCAGATCTCCCTGTCTCCCCTCTGTGGATTGCCAAACCTCTCCAGGCACTCTCCAATCTTCAGGACCAAGGGGTTATAGGCCCGGTCCCTATTTGATGTTTTATGGGATTACTCCTACATATTGTTTGAACTGTGTTTGCACTCAGCTTCTATGCTCTTATCCCGATCATCAGTCTGCTACCGCTGCCTTTGTCAGTGTGTGTTCTGTCTGCCTTCTGTATCCTGCACTGTTTTTAGGAATGGTTTGCTTTTCCTGATCTGACCATCAGCCTACTGACTATTCAACTGTCTGCTGTTTGGTCTGACCATCTGTTTGAGAACTTATACAACTCTAGCATCTGTCCTGCTTGTTAGTCAGCTTTCCCTGTTGATACAGTGTGTCCATGTAACAATAGCAACTGATGGCTAATATATTGTATGCTTCAGACTCATATATCAGATATTTGTTCTCCAGTTCTTGTAGTAAAGCCCAAGGAAACTGACCCAGTAGTTTTTAATATATTTTAATATGCAAAAATGCTACACACACAAACTAAAAATTCCAATCGAACAGGACTTTGTGGCGATTACGTGTTTTCAAGAAAAGGGATTCTGGTTGCAGTCTCTCGCAAAATGTGGCTTTTACTCGTCCTTTGTTCCAGTATCGACCTCCTTGGTCAATGTCCAATCATGAAGTCCTATCTATTGAACCTGGGCTACTGCTTTTATTCAGAAAAGTTGGTAGCCCACCTGTAAGTGTTGCCCTTAAAACTTGTATTGTCCTATGGCAGGTGTATCTCCCTGACCCTTTTGAGGCACTTATTTGAGTGAGATCAAACCTTCTAGAAAACTTAAGGTTTTCACATTTAAATTTTGTTTGTTTGTTTGTATGTGTGTCTGACAGAATCAATACATTTTCGTACAGAGATTCCATATTTATATATACTGTATATATATATATACTGTATATACAGAATTCACTGTATTCCGTATATATACAGAATACAAGTATGCATCACATTTTATAAACAAACAGTGTTTTATAGAAGAACTATATAAATCAGTTATAGTTAACTTACTGTTGTTAGGTGACAGCTGAAAAAGATCCCTGGTTATTAACCCTCCTTACTCAGTACAGAACATGGTTTATGCTAATAACCTCTTTCTACATTTGTAGACTCCTTTGCATTTGGCTGTCATCACTTGCCAATCTGATGTAGTTGAAGATATTCTGAAAGCAGGAGGAGATCCATTAATGTTAGACCGTAATGGGAATTCTGTCCTGCACCTTGCATGTAAAGAAGGAGATTCGACCACCCTCAGCATTCTTCTCAAACACCCAAAATTAACTGAGATTATTAACCTTCCCAACAATGATGGTAAGATCACAAGTATTATTACTGAAACGCAGCAGTACATTGTTTATACCAGATACATAAAAGTGACCCTGTCACCACAGTTAATGAAGCCTGAGCTGTAAAAGAAGATCATGTACAGTATACTTCTTTTTCCAGAGGTCTGTGTCTTCAAATGCTGCCTCTTTGTCCTGTAGTGACGAGCTGTTGAGAGAAAATACTGCATGCAGCAGCAGGAGCATGTATAATATACACACTTGGCCAGGGAGCAGCAAGGCTGCAGCAATTGAAGACACAGGCAGCTGGAAAGGTAAGTATGCAGCATCTTCTTTTACAATCCAGGATTTACGTTTACTTGACCCTGTGGTTATAGGTTCACTTTAATGTTTAAAAGGAAATGTTTTTTTTATCTATAGTGTAAAGAAATCACTTTTATATAAGTCATCTTTTATATATTAAAAGCCTTGTTCCTTGGTGTAGCTTGTAACCATTTTTGAGGGGACAGCCATAACGTATTTACTTCCTTTGTGCCCCCTTATCTCACTCCAAATCTTTCCCATTGAAAAGATTCTATACAGTCTTTAAAGATTGGTAGCTGCAGACTATTTGTGTTCTAGTCTGCCTAGGCATGGAGGTCAAGAGTGGCAGTGTTATTTTCTTTAAATTAAGACAATAAGGCGGTATTCTTTGCACCTAAATATTAAATCAATTTGGTAATGTTGACAGACACACTAATGTTTTATGTAGAGAATAAATTTTATTTTTTTATATGCGTGAATTTAATTTTAATTGCATATTTTGATGGAATAAGATATGTGAAATAATTCAGAAGTGGCGGCTAATATTTGCTGATTTTTCTGGGTTTGGTTATTGGCACGTGTCCTGGTCATGCACGCTAGTATTACAATAATCAGTAGTGCTGATTTTGGTAGTGGAGTGTGGGTTTTCCTTGGTTATGAGTTATGCATGGGCTAATAAAGTTTGTTGCTCTCTACAAAATGTTACGTGAACTATTCATGTTTGTCCATGTATCTAAAGCAAATGAAAATGCTGCACAAACCATAACAGCTTTTTGTTCATCACTAGGCTTATGCGCAGTCCATATTGCGGTGATGGCAAACAGCATGGGTTGCCTTAGACAGTTGATCTCAGCGTGGGTAGATGTGAATGCTCAGGAGCAAAAGTCTGGGAGAACCCCTTTGCATTTTGCTGTGGAACAAGACAACATCTCTCTAGCAGGCTGTCTTCTCCTTGAGGTGAGTCCTTATTTGATTTAACACCAAGTCAAAGCTGTACCTGGAGGTGTTTGCTTCCTAGGGTTTTATGATAACACTTGGCTGACCCAAAGCAGTTTAAATTGCATTCTGTTTTTAGCCTAAGTTGTGCATATTTTCTGCATTTCATGGTGAGTTTCCACATTACATTAGATAAAAAAGCTGACGAATTAGCTCTCTCCATAGATATGATTTATTAATTATCCAAAGGGCTCTTCAAAGTAACAAAATTAAAATCAAATTAAGTAAGGATATCAAATTAAAAACATGATGGGGCACTCAGTCGTCACATACAGATAGGTAAGCAGGTTACATGTGGAATAATGGGTCAGATAATGCCCAGGGTGCACAATCACTGTGCTGTTTTTCACAGAAAACTTGAATAGGAACTCCCACATGTAGCTATAAAACCCTTTATTGCAGGGGTGCCCATAAGGTCGATCGCGATCTACCAGTGATCGCAATGTCCTCTCCTCCCTCCGTGGGGCTTCTATGGATCTCGGCTTCTAAGGCCGAGCAGTGAGGAGAGAGAGAGACGCTCGGCCAGGATCTGACAGCTGGCGCCTCTCTCTCTCCTCACCGCTCGGCCTTAGTTCTGTGACAGCGGCTCCATCCTCTGTCCTTCTTTCACTTCTCGTTGGATCCCCCGCTGCCTTTGCACAGAGGAGAAGTAGGCTGCCTCCAGGTACACCTACATTCAATTTATCGACTTCATTAATATGCTCACACTTGGAGACTCATTTAAATAGAGTTAGGACCACACTTTGCAGAAGTGCCTTGACAGAGCAGTGTGGCTTCTACATATTTTTGGCAAAAAGGTTTGTGCAACTAAAACCTCTGCTTTTAACGCAATCTGTTAACAGGGTAATTTGTTTTGTTGCAGGCTAGCTGGCATGTGTGCTGGGGACTTTTTTGTGTTTTGTATTGTTGTAAGCCTTCCCATGTGCACCCTGCTACAAAGGCTGGCTATAAATGTATGCGGTTACCATATTTTTCTAGTTTGCTTAACAGGTTAATCTCACTGTTCATGCTATTACTTATTTGCGTTGTTTGTACTGTGTTTGTATTCTGCTTGTCTATGAATATCTCGATTATCAGCCTGCTATTGCTGCAACTGTCCCATTCTGGGACCTGACCTCTATTCACAAATTGTTTGTTTGTGCCTGTTCTGACCATTAGGATGCTGGCTCTAATATGCTCCACACTCACAATCTGACAGTCACTATTATTTGCTCTTGGCATGTGCATTATGTATTGACTCCACACTTGGCAGCTACCATCATAAAAGCTCCAGAGCTGGCAGCCTACCAGCATCTTGTTTCAACAACATGGGTCTCCTGCCCACTACCAGTTGCTATTATATTTTGGATACAAATTGATACTTTATAGGGATCCTGAATGTTTTTAACCTTTAGGGAGAATAAAGAGACTTTTATGACCACATACGGGAGTTTGTGATTAAAGCTAACAGCTGTATGAGTACCTCTGTAGCAGTGCAATAGCTCAATGGGTAGCTTTTCCAAGGTCAAAAATTCCTTTGACATTATATATGAAATATAACTATTCTTGCTTTTTCTATCTACCATAAAAGCAGTTTTGAAAATAAAGAAACTTCTGTTGTTATCAGTGGGGTGTGGTTGCATTGCCTGTTTTCTTCTTTTCCTTCAGTATTGCTTCCTTCCCACAGGGAGATGCATGTGTAGATAGCACAACGTATGATGGAAGCACCCCTCTTCATATAGCAGCTGGCAGAGGCTCTACAAAACTCACAGCTCTCTTAAAAGCAGCAGGTATGCCGACATCAAGATTTGACCCTCTAATATCATTTTGTTGCTTGTGGATTGGACAATGTGTTTTATGTACGGATACCAGGGCCTCATTTATAAAGGTGGTAGAGATAAAAAGAAAAACTATATTAGTGTGTAGAAACCATTCACATTTTAATTCACCATTTTCCTATCCAGGATTAAACCTGTTGAGTGGCTGTGTTACATTTTAAACAATTTTTTCTGATATGTATAAGTACATAGTCCCAACAGATCTGGATAAATTAGCACATCTGTAATATATGTACACTGCTTTTTTGCCGTTCCATAATTCAGAGTAAGCAGTTGAATATGTATTTGATTCTCCATATATTGGTATCGAAGATCCAACAGAAGGAGAGTTAGATAGGTTTCACTGCTACTCAAAAGAAAGCCAGACAGGGTTGGTCACTACAGCAGACAGAAAGCCTCCTGAAGGAATTTTAGGCTAGTGATATAACCAAACAAACATGTTAATCCATTTTTGGTCGATTAGCTCCTGAATATTTCCGATTTTTTAAATTTATACATGTTACCTAATGTGATCTACTGTTTAATATGCCATATTGGTAATTACTGTCTTATAAAATAAATGGCACACATATTTTTATTATCATATCATTATTGAACAAATGGTTCAAAAAAGCAAGCATCATCTTGGATAATTACATCTTTAAAGGGGTGTGATTGAAGTTGGGGTGTTCCATTCAGTTTATGTGTTGATGTGAACTGCTCTCTTGATATATTATGATTACATGTACTTCAAAACAACATAATGACCTATGACCAGTAGATAGTTGCAAAGGAATTCATAAATTCTGAGCCATCATTAGTCTACAGTCAAGCAGATCCGTTACAAATCATTTACAAATGGAAGAAATTCACCATTGCCACCAACTGTAGAAGCGGGGATTCAATAAAAATCAGGGCACACTATACAGTCATCAGACAGATGGCTATGATTGGAATCCAATATCTATCAATCTGCTGGAATTTGTTGCACTTGATAACATTTGTGTCCTTCATAAGAAAAATACTGAACAAGATTGATGATCATGGGAGATTGCCATAGAAGAAACCAATGCTCTTAGTCTTAAAAAAAAAACATATTCTCCAACATTGATGGAGTAATGTTCTGTGGACAGATGGTAGAGAAATTAATTATTCAGGTTCGTTTGGAGAAAATAAAACTCTACAAAAGGAGCACCAACTCATGCAGACTGTGAGCTATGGTCGTTGATGTATAATGACGTGTTGCTGCTTTGCTGCCTTAGGTCCTGAATAGCTCACTATCTCTGAAGAGCTAATGAATACTAAGAAGTATCAGTAGAATGTCAAGGCTTCTGTCTGTAAATCTGAATCCAAGAGATGTTGTGCCATGCAATATGATGCAATCTAAAACACAGGTGTAAATCAACAACAAAGTAACTCATACAGAAGAAATGCCAATGTTATATTGGCCAAGTCAGAGTACAGACCTTAGTCCCAAAGTTCATTCATTAAATCTTTACATTTAAAAAATAATGAATTATAGTAGCTTGTATAATGAAATGGGACCCAATGTCTCCTAACCACTTCACATGTCTGAATGGCTGCTACAGAAAGCATTTGGATGTAGTTAGCACCAGGAAAGGAAGCTCCGCTAACTGCTGGATGAAAGGCTTACACAGGTTTTCCATCAATGAAAGTTACTGCACAACCATTCTTTCAATAAAATTACTAAATTATGTTGCTTGTGGGGTTTGTTAAAAATGACTGTGATTCTTGTTTTCTTGCTATAAGGCGCAGACTCATTCATTGAAAACTGTGAACCACTGTACAACGGTGAGGACATGGATGAGAATGATATAGATGAAGGCATTGTTCCTGGCACAAAACCAACAGACATGGCAATCAACGATAAGGTTAGCTGCTGCAGCCCTTCGGTTATTTGCATTAGATAGTTCCCATTTATCAGTGGACATTTCTCTCAATACACCACGCAAATTTTTATTTGCAATATCGGATTTGTGGCTAAATAAACCGCATTGACTTAACTAGCATTGACCTGACTTAACAAAAAGGCCACCCTGGTGTTCACTAAAATGTCAATGTTATGCACCTTGCCATTGGACTTGTTTGTACTCGGGTGTGCTTGTCTTGAGTTACTTGAAGATAATCTAATTTAGAATACAGATATTCTGTGTTTGCAGATGACACCAAGTTATGTAGTGGAATACAGTCGTTACAGGATGTCTCCATCCTACAAGCAGATCTGAATGCACTGTGTGATTGGGCATCTATTTGGCAAATGAGGTTTAATGTCGATAAATGTAAAGTTCTGCACTTGGGGACTAAAAAAATGCATGCGTCATACACTCTAGGGGAGGGGTATGTTTGGGGGAGTCAATGATGGAGACAGATCTGGGTGTTCTGGTAGATCATAGACTCAATAATAGCATGCAATGTCAAGCTGCAGTTTCTAAAGCAAGCAAAATACTTTCTTGTATTAAAAGGGGTCTAGACTCCAGAGATAGAGACACAATCCTGCCCCTGTACAAAGCATTAGTAAGACCTCATCTGGAATATGCAGTTCAGTTTTGGGCTCCAGTTCACAAAAAGGATGTTGTGGAACTGGAGAAAGTGCAGCGAAGGGCAACTAAACTCATAAGAGGCACGGAGGAGCTCAGCTATGAGGAAAGATTAACTGACCTGAATTTGTTCTCTCTGGAGAAGAGGCGATTAAGGGGGGACATGATCACCATGTATAAATAAATGGTCCATATAAAGAGCTTGGTGCCAAATAATTCACGTTAAGGTCACTGCAAAGGACAAGGGGGCACCCTTTGCGTCTGGAGGAAAAGAGGTTTAATCTTTGCATACGGAAAGGATTCTTCACAGTTAGAGCTGTGAAAATGTGGAATAGACTCCCCCAGGAGCTAGTTCAGTTAATTGTTTTAAAACAAATCTGGATGTATTTCTAAATGCACAGAATATTACTGGATATTGAGTTCTTATAAGTATATTAAGCATCAGAGATTGTTGATCCAGGCAATATCCGATTGCCTTATGGGATCAGGAAGGATTTTTTTCCCCTGTTGGAGCAAATTGAATCATGCGTTATAGGTTTTTTTATTGCCTTCCTCTGGATCAACAGGGGGTAGCTGTGGGCATAGGGTTCAGTTTAGGCTTTTTTTCTTTTTTTTCTCATATCTCTATAGGTTGAACTCGATCAACATGTGTCTTATTTCAACCTGACTAACTATGTAACTATAAAAGATAGGTTTCCTTTTCAAGCAGATGGAAAGTGCTATAAAAGTAGTAGTGCATACCACAGCTGCATTCATTATAGAGATTATTTCCCAAATAGCCCAAGGCATGTATGTCCAAATGCAACCAAGCTCAAGAACAATGCAGCACTCAGTGTGTCATGTACTTTAAAGTGAACCTATGGTATTGCCTATGCAGACCATTTCACTTTAATGCCCCAGTAGCTGCCATACACTATGTGAATATCAGCCAGTTGATAATATACAATTCTTGTCTTTTTTCTATTTTGCAGGTGCTGGAAATACTGCATGGAAAGCCATACTCAGCAGAATTTTCACCGGACTCCTTACAAGGTATATTACTTGACCTCCATCCAGGGTTAATCATTTTCAGAGTTATGTCAGAGACTTTAAGTACATGCCAAATAGAGTTGATCATCAACTGATGGTAAAAATCCAGTAAACTAAAAACACAAATTTATTTTAAGGGAAACCAATACCAATGTACTATATATAGGTAGTGAAAATGATTTAAAGTATACCTATGCTTTGACCATGCAGGATAAAGCAACAGGTTCATTTTAATTTCCTCCCTCCCCAGCTGCACATGTTCTCTTTTCAATTTCTCCCCTCCTCTCTTGAAGCTCAATGCCAGAACTCGGCAGCCAGTTAACAAGCACCAGTGCTGTCACATGGAATAGAGGGGAATAAGTTACATACGGCCCATACCTAGAAGTACTAGCTATTTTTCATTACTCCTGGCAGGGGATTTAAGGGAAGGTAAGTGTGTGTAGTTGGGGAGGGCTGCAGCTAAGTAAACCTCTTGCTTTGACCTACATCTCTCCAAACAAATCCTTGATTGCCTAGGGCGCCCCTAAACCTGGGACGTTATGTTGTGTAATATGTAATGGCTGAGCTCTGGGCCACACCAATCTGCATCTCATTATTGGCACATTAGAGTGAAATGCAGCCTCGCTAATCAATAGTGAGGTTCAGAAGGAGCATACCAGAGCTCCACTTACTGTAGATTCAGATACTGTGGCTCTCTAGTATCAGAGACATTTACTGCTTCATCCAGGGTGAGAATGCGTAATACTAGGAATGCACCGAAATGAAATTTTTAGACCGAAACCAAAATTTGTCAGGCTGAAACCAAAACCGAAAACTACTTTTTTTCCAACCTTTTTAAAGATGTTTAAATTATTTTTTCGTTTATTTATTTCTATTATTTTTTAGATTTTTACTTTACTGTTAGGGGATTTGGGGAAATATTAGGGGTCTAAAGAGAACCCTGATATGTCCCTTTTTAAAATAGAAAAGAGATTGATGACACAGTGTCCTAAATTTCTTTTTCGACAGCCTCTGTTATGAATGAACAGGAAGCCTCCATACTGAGTGCTCCTGTCCATTCATAAACTGTTACAATGTCCACAATTATGAATGGACAGGAAATGATGTAGAGCACTTCCTGATCATTCATAAATGGGGACACAGTAAGTTTACTATGTCCTCAGTTATTTACAAACATTCAGTTTGTGTTCAAGAGTGTTTGTACTCTGCTCTCCATCCTGACTGCTCCACCTCTCACAGGAGGCCAAGCGGAGCAGTGCGGGAGGAGAGCTCAGTATCCCACGACTGCTGACAGCTCTCTTTCCCAGAACCACCCCAATTGGCCTCCTGACAGCTTCTTTCCTCTCCGCTGTGCGCTGGCAGCTGGATCAGCTCTGTGTCCCCTTTGATCCCCGCTGGAGGGGACACAGACTGGTGCCCAGCAGGGAGGAGAGAAGCTAGGAATATACCACATTTTCAGCCGTTTTGTTAATAATGGCATCTTGCCCATACTACCATTTTCGGTCAAAGTGTTTCGGTGGCCGAAATTTCGGTGCACCCCTACTTAATACATTAGTATATTTAGTTATATTTTTGGGTCATTTGCAAGGTTACATAATCTAATTACCCCAGGGAGGGGCACAATGCTAATCCAGTATATTTATGTAGGAGACATGAAAGACCTGAGTGAGGAGACGAAACAGAAGCTGTATACATTGTTAGAAAGTGAAGACGCAGACAAGAACTGGTCCACTTTGGCACAAAACCTTGGTCTGGGAATACTGAACAATGCTTTCAGGTTAAGTCATCATCCTTCCAAAACCTTACTGGACAATTTTGAGGTAAGAGACATTTTGCACAGTGAGATTTTCTCGTTCTATGGGGAATAGTGATAGACTCTTCACATAAGTGCCCGAGTGGTTGAGAGATTCAGTATAGTGTAATTGATTGATACCAGCACATGTTAAATTGCTTATAGATATGAGATAACAGTTAGCATATCCAGTTGGGCATAGGCTCATAATTTCATGACTAACATGGGGCTGGCCGCCATTGTTGTCAGAAATGTAGGGATTGGACAGGACAGGCCAGGCAGTGTTCTAATTTCCCTTATAGATTACATGGGAAAGAAATAAACTCCCTGTATGGATGTCAGATATTTCTGCTCCCCCATGTAATTGGCCTGATATTCCTCTGAAGAACCCACCAGTGGAATGTGGATGATACCCAGAACTGTTTTATTAACAGTCTTCCAGCTCCAGCTCAAACCTACAAATCATTATTATATCCTAATAAAGCTAAGCTTCACGTTAAATGACCGCCATCAAACACTTGCTCGCAGAAGTGCTCACCGACTTCTTATGATCACACACACTTACAGATTGGTCATATGGCATTAATGTGAGACTCCTCAACCCACTTCTCTGGTGGTGGTCATTTAATGTGAAGCACAGCTTTATTCGGATCTGAAACACAAAACTGTTTTAAGTAGAATAAGCTTTTATTATTCACACCTAGTACCTTATACATTACAGACTAAATTGATGAACTAAATAATATGGGACAAGGTTTGGACTCAAGTTTATCTTCCTGTACTACCTATTTTATGAAAACAGGGGCAAATTGTTACCAGAGCCAACAATCACATTTCGTTTATCAAGTTTAATCTGGTTGTTAACACAACAGCTTCAGTTTTATTTGTACTATTTGTTCAAGAAATCGCATATTAAAGTAGAACAAAAGGCTCCTGTATAACAGTCTATACAAGCAGTGGCGTAAAAATCGTCCAGGCGGCCGCTATGGCGCCCGGGCACAGGGGGGCCCGGCCAGGGCCACCCTCTGATGCCGTGTGGGCTGCCTAACCAAATTGAATGCTACGTGATGCCCAATCCCCATAAAGTTAACAAAACCTTATTTTGACTTCCCAGCCTGAGCCAAACCCTCCTTTATTGTGTCTCACACACTCTTACTCCCAGACACTGCAGCTGACAGTAGGAGGGATTCAGCACAGCAACAATGACAGTGCTGTCAATCTAGAAATCAGTGGACAGGAGTAGGACTGGCCAAGTGCTGATTGACAAGCTACAGACTTATAAAATCAGCAGAGACAATACTGATAGCCACGTCCCCTACAAAGTTTTTTTCATCCTATTGTAGAACAAACAGGCACAGTCTGCATGAGAGTGGTAACTATGCTCCGAATTTAGGAGCAGTGCAGCATCGTTGCCACACAATCACAGGAAGCTGCATTAGTGGGAATTCACTGGCAGAATCAAACTATAGTTGTGGGACTGTGCAGGCAGACTAAGAGAATACTGTAAGGGTGCGCTTACAATCAAGTGCTGCCCCACATATTTTTTCATAACTTTCCTTCAAGAGATTTTGTTTTGCTGTAAAACATAAGATTATAACTGTTAACCAAATACCTTCTTCCAAAATCTTCATCCTGTGTATGTTAATCTCAAGTTTACACATTGCAATGAATGCGGGAGCACCAGTGTCAGCAAAGGTTGAGATTTCTTTATGTGACAGGTATGTTTTGTTCTTCTGGCAGGTATCTGGTGGGACAGTGTCCGAACTTCTCGCTGCCTTAAAAGTGATGTCATTCACAGAAGCTATTGAAATCATTGAAAAGTCACAGCCAGCCCTCTCTGCCAGATCCCGAGAGGATGATCCTTCTTCTGCTGAGATCTCACAGGAACAAGGTGATTGTTGTATGAATATTAGGGAAAATCTCATTCAGAGGTCAGACGAGTTTATATTTAGTGGACAATGTATTTGTGTGAAAGCTAAACATAGGAAACCGCAATGAGTAGCTTTGTAAGGTAAATGCACTGTCTTGATTTAGGAACATACTGTATGTGTTTGTGGCTGTTGTAATGACAGCTCAAAAACACAAACTCTACAGAGTTCTCTACAAAGAGAAGGTAATTTATAATTATTAGCTCCATCTACTGTAAAACTAAACAAAGTAAGTGTTACAAGCAGTGCAAGAGTTAGCCGCAACAACAGTACAGCTTCTATTTTTTGTTTTCATCTGGCCACTTGGAGGTTAAATGTAAATTGCAGAGGAGGAAGTGAAGGAAACACTTATGCAAGATTTGTAAATGAAGCCACCATCTCTCCTTCCTCTCTGGACTGAAAAGTGATCACCGATAACAGAGTATTTCCTTCTTTGAACTTTCATAGCTATATTACTATTACATAAGCCTGTATGAACAGGTGCATCTTTTGTAAACACTATAATGCGATGTTGGCCTGAATGGGATTACAGTTTAATTACTAAAGCATTTAAACAAGGAAAGAAATACAACTGCATAGTAAAACATATCCAGCAGAGATCGAGCCAAACGAAAGTCCTACCCATACAAGCATACACGCTATAGAAGAAAGGCATGGAAACAAGGATGAAAACATACTAGTAGTCTATGGCTGAATAAAAGGAATAGATAAGGCTAGATATACTAGTATAATTAATGGTCTGGAGCAGGGACCAGCAACCTTTTCTACATTTGGGGGGTGATAACACTTCTGTCAAACATATTGCTGGGAGAATGCTGTTCGCACGGCCCTACTGCCATGACTTGGTGCTGAGGAGCATGGGAAATTCTGTATAATACATAGCTTGGAGGAAGATATACAGCCCAAGTGTCATGTTCAAAAGCATCAGACAACCATTGTGCCAGTAATCTTAGCTTGTTTTCAATGTTTTCACTTAGTTGTACAGATAATGGCAGGTTAATTATATGACAATTCATTAGTTTAACTTACTATTAGCAGTACAAAAATGGGTGCAAAAATTGATTAACTGGTGCACACAAAAAACATGTTCATGGAATGCACTTCAGACTAGCCCCAATGCATGCACTTCACACCTCAGATCTGCCCTAATATAGACCTCAGATCAGCCCCAGTGAATGCACTTCTCACCTCACCTCAGATTAGGGAGCAACAATTAAGTGATAAGCAATGTCATTATGAGTTGTAGTATTTAAGTGTCTGAGAACTAAGGCTGTTACATGGAGCATTAGCTGAATAGCAGACTAGAATGTCATTCTTTTAATATAAGCATACAAAAATTATTATTTTTATAGCAGCTTCAGCTGGGAGAATCTAATACAACATTTACTGTGCCCTTATTTTCTGTTATTATTACATTGTAATATATAATTAAATAATTATACAGCACACCCTAATGCAGAATCAGTGGAAGCCCTGAGCTTGTTCTCCTGCTCTCAGGTGGCCAGTGCAGGCTTTCAGGTGGTCCGTGGGGCTCTCATGCGGTCAGTGCGGGCTCTCAGGTGTTCAGTGGGGCTCTAAGGTGGTCAGTGCGGGCTCATACCAGGGGTCCAGAGACACTCACTGGCAGCTGCAGGCGCAGCAGAAACAGCTCTCTAATCAGGAGGCCACTCGAGAGGCCCCAGTGAGCAGCCTTCTAATATACCTGGTTAAAAGACCACCTCTGCCTGGTTGTAGCCAGCCCAAATTGCCGTCTGGCATACCGAGGCTATCCTTGGCCAACCGGGCCTATTTTCAGGGGCAGGCCTGGAGCAGGAGCTGCGGACCAGTTTCTAACAGGCCATTGACCGGTACAAGGGGTTAGGGGTCATTATGACACTGACTGCCTCACACTAACACAAGGTCAGGACTGGCTATGGTATAAACAAACTGCAGGAGGTAGGACCTATGGAGAGCAGTGACGTGCGGTACCTCTTTTTCCGGGTGAGGCTTTCCCCAGCACGTCCCTCCGCCGCCGCCTGCAGCCCCTCCCCCTGCTGACAAAAGCCCCGCCCCCGTCGCCAGATGAAGCTGCGATCAGTCTATGACAGGTTACAAAGCGGGGAGGATTTCCCTGCTGTGTAACCTGTTAGATGCAAATCTGAATGGAGAAAAAGCTGTCAGCTTCAGACTTGAAGCTGACAGCTTTTTCCTCCATAATTCTAGGTGAGGCTCTGCCTCCCCTGACCGCATGTCCCCGATGGAGAGTCTACTTGACCTTTTCCTAATGCAGATGTCACTTGTGAGGGAGTTAGAGAGGGGTGGCAGTTATCTTAAATTACATTCCAACAGGGGGGGTGTGGATGTATTTGCCTGTCCATCCCTTATAGCCCGAAATCCTCACCATGGTATGATCTACTTCCTGCCTGTGATGGCCCTGGCTAAAGGATATATATAATGACATTTAATAAAATGTGCAATGATAATAATTTTATACAATAATGGCCTTTATAGGAAAGTTGTATTCATGTTATTTTGTCCATTATGTGCAGTATGATAAGTAAATATTTTCATATTCTTTTATTTTTATTTTTCATAGATAATCATAGAGGACCATCTGATGAGTACAAGCAACAGTATAATGAAAGTATGTGCGACAGTGGAGTGGAGACATCCTTCAAGAAGCTGAGCCTTTCATATTGTGAACTGCAGAAAGCAGAGAGTGAACACTCGGCCCCTCTATCTCAACTTATCTGCAACAACTGATGAGCACACAGCAAAGACTATGCTTCTAGGCGTATTTATAGTGTGGTAATACACTGGTTTCACAAGGAGTATCAGGCTCACATACGTTACACAACGCATGCCAGAGAGGTGAGAAAAGACTGGTGTGAATGAAATGTAACGACTAAAGGTGTTATACAAACACCATGATACAGGTGCAGAACTAGCCATAGCAGACCACTCCACTGCTATGGGTATCCATAGTGTCTGATGACATAATAAATTATATAGCCAGACATAGCACTTGACAGATAAACATGAATGTAAATATACTCCAAGCTCCTGAATGTGGTAGGTTCATACACTGCAGTTTTAGTTACTGTTGTCAGTAGGCCTTTGTAGTGGGATTACCTTTAAGCTGCAAGTAGGAGGGCCTGCTAACACCGTAGTAACCTTGCTGTGGAGCCCCCTTGGATATATAGTGGCATCCTTTCCCCACAATGATACACAGTATAGAAAACTAAAACCAAAGAGATGGGTGTCTCACGCAGACTTCCAATTTGCACTTACTAATTTAATAGGCCATTGGATTTTTTTGGCCGCTTATTGAAAGATTTGTTGAATCTTATTGGGTGTTGCACATAATGTACAAGTTAAAAAGTACAGACTATTCTGCATATTTTTTACAGTTGTGAGTAGAAGATATTGAACAATAACAAGTATTTACACATTGCTGTGGGTTAAATGTCATGCTTAGTAATCATGTTTTATTTTAATACAGTATAAATATTATATATTTTAAGTAATGTCTTTTTTTATTGTGCCTTTTGTAATAAAACAATAAAGGCAAGAAATGGTTGTCCATATTTCTGAGCACGTTCTTTTCTTTTTTTCTAATACCGCATGCTTTTCATGTACAACTCTCAACAATATTAAGTTCAAGACAATCATAATAGTCATTTCCCATTGGGCTTATTTTAGGGTAGACCGTGTATAGCTCTTCAGTTATCACTGTTATTTCTTATTGGTTCCCATTTGTATTAGACCTCAAAATCTGGAGATGCATATATGAGAATAAAAGGAAATACGGTATATTCTAGTTTCCCATTTGGAGTGTTCAGACACAAATATTATCACATGGATTCTCAGACATTAACCTCTTTAACCTCTGGAGGTGGGATTGGTTGCATGGAAATTTATAATAAACACCTAGAGAGCACTGATCTTTAAGAAACTCCTATTCAGAATTTATTTGAGACAAGCATGGCCAAGTTTCATTCTGCACTAAAAACTGCATTATTAGATCATCTCGTTTACTATGAAAATCCCATGACATGACTTGCTTCAAGTTAACTTGCCCACGTAAAAAAAAAAATGGAGAGCAGTAGACGGTAAAAGAAATAACAGAAAACTGTACCAATATTGTAAATCACTTTTAACATGTGAATATCTTTCGGAATTGACATCTTAAAACATACCCACATACTTTAAGCTGTATTGCAGCTGACCCATGCCGACTCGAAGGCAAAGAGCTGGCTGATTATGTGACTGCTGATCAGTCAGCTCTGGGTCTCTGCTTCCAATTGCTGTAATTTGATAGCGGGCATAAGCCTGCTATCTGCTGATTTAAGTAAATTAATTCCTGTAATCAACAGAACTATAGCCATTTAAAAAAAATGTTTGTTCTTTTAGGTCACAATATCTGAGAAATAATTTTTTTACATATTCCTGTGGTAAATTCAGCAGAGAGAATAAGCCCTCATTGCCCTCTTAGTTTATTGAACCCAATTAAGAATATGCTTGTAGCTAACATCACCAGAAGGCACACATGTCTTTTTGCATTCTATTCAGCATTCACCACCATGCAACATGGTACCGTCTGTGTAAAAAGTCCCTTTCCTGAAGATTCACATTGAAAAACAAATAAAGTTTCATACAGGTGCAAGATGAAATCCATAATTCAAGGTCATGTTGGGAACTAACTTTTACCAAAATGCTACCATTTGACCATCTACAGCAGCAGTGGACCTTACTAAAATTAAAGTGACACTAAACTCGAGTTAAATCTTAAAATGAATTCAAGTACCTCAACTATTAAAAAACCATTTACCTTATTTGTGTATCACTCAGCTGTAGATCCTCAAATCATCTCTGAATTCATGCCAACAATGTCCGTCCTTCTGGAGGGTGGCTACTTGTGCTCCCCATGGTCCGTGTGTGTGTGTGTGTGCGCGTGTGTGTGTGTTGTGAAGTAGCCACCACTCCAAGCTCGCACCTGTGATGGGACTACAATCTCAATACAAATTAATAAACGAAATTCGAGATTGTAGTCCATCCTGGGAGTGAGCTTGGAGCGCTTTAAGGAGACAGACTGCAGAAAGGTTACATAAGACTACTAAAGATCATAGCCATCACGACCTATTCACTGTGTTGATTTATATCTGTATGTTTGTTTATCCAGTCAGGTCACTATTCATTTACACGATTCATTAAGTTAATTGGATAATTTTATAGATTTGTTAGTATTATTTAGGTACAATAGGGTATCTAGCGCCACATAATCATTATTTATATTCTTGGGACATTTGGGTCTGTATTGTGTCAGCTTCATCACCCATATTAGTATTTCATTATCTATAAGCGCAGATCATTAGATTCAATATCAGTATATGTCTCTAAGAGTTGTGATGTGCAATGTTTTCTCCAGTTCAGCAACAGTAGTTGGTTTCCAGGCATAAAAGTAAACTGCAGTCTTGTGCTCTGTTACAAGGAAACCGTTATCACTGAACCTTCCGGCTATGTTCCCGACGTCCATCCATACAAAAGGAGCCGGGTAGGTGCTAATTAGAGTAAACACATAGGTCCCCTGGTTCTTCTGAGAGATGTATACCTGGGGAAACACAACATGTTGGATGATTACTTCATGCTACAAATTAGTCATTTTAAAAAGGTCACCTTGCGAATGTGTCCTACTTGGAAAAGTATAAAACGTTTCTAGAAAGCACTCACCAATCATTCACCAAAATTGCTAAACTGTGTTGAAGTCCGAAAGCATAATCAATTTACCTTTAATCTTTATTTATGTCTTAATACATTTTTTGCAACAAGATTTATTAGACTATTAATAGTGGTGTATTTTTGAAAAATGCACAGTCATTCATCCTCCAAAACTGCACGCACATTTGTTCTGTGCGAATGAAGGCAAAAATGAAGGTTTTCCCTGCAGGCTGAATGTAATATCAAAGAAATACTGCATGATGGCCACTAGTTGGGAAGCATAGGAAATAAATACACTTTACTTCTTCCCTATGCTCCTTAGCTACATCTAGTGGCCATATTGTGGCAGTTTCCTGACATTACATTTGACCTGGAAAGAAAATATTCTAAGAACATTCCTTTTTGCCTCCATTTACACAGACAGGAGTGCAGCCGGGTCACATGACTGTGCTGTGCTGTCTTTTAGATAAAGGTTTAGAAAGGTTGGTACTTGGAATTTCAGACCTGCTGATGTTCAACTGTGTGAAGGCTGGATCATAGGGTGAAGATATGAAACACTAAGCAGGTAATTTGTGCGCTCTGTGTATGTTTCAGTTAAATGGTTTTATCTTTAACAAGGATTTGTATTTAAGAAGAGGTCAAGAGAAGTAGTTTCCGGTTTCCGTTTCTCCAGAGAGGTTCAAAACAAATAAAGACATCTGAAAGACTCCTATGTTCCTCAGTTTCATCTAGTGCATCCAGTGGCTATAATGTATTATTACAACAGACTACATTTGAACTGTTCTCAGGTATTCACAGGGCGAAGGGCCCTGCAAAATTCTTATAAAATAGATCCCATATGCTCATCAGTGTAAGACTTTGATATCCTGACTGCTACTGATGAAAAGACAAAGATAGCAGAAAGGAATTCATCTGTCTTCCCCATACATGCTGCCTCCACCACCACTTCTGCCCCTTTTCTACATGCCTCTTACAGGACACAACAACACATAAGGGGGTGTATGTTCTTTGTCATGGTCCTGTTTTCATAGAGGAAAGGATGCAGCATGTTGAAGTTCAGTACATATGTGCACATTTTCTCAATATATTGTGAAACAGAAAAACCATAACAGTATAGCTACGCTGCTCGATAAGAACATTTACAAATAGGATTGGATTACTATTAAATAGCGTGGCAATACCATGGTATAATGTGGCATCAAAGTCTCTCAGCAAGAGGGGCTGAGCGGCTCCAGGAAAGTACTGTTGCCAGTAAAGAGCTGGTTTTACAACTCATTCTGGGTTTTCGGGATTGAAGTTTGGATCCTGGAGCCAGGAGATTTCTTAGAGAACTGGGAGGGAAGAAATCTCCATTCCTGTGTCCGGCGTTAGTGGTGACCAGCACCAAATGATGGTGCACCTGTGCACAGCCCTTATGAGGAGGATACTGGGTCAGGTTCAAGGTTCCACCTGGGAGACAGAGGAGGTATCTGTGCAGGAGTCAGGAGGGCTCCACCCTGTAACCAGTCTGTGTCTGGCAGACTGGAGGAGCCTATGACCTGTGTGTGGAAAAGCAGCCTGTGTGGCAAAAGACTAGCCTGTGTGCAGGGGCGGTGCTAGGATTTTTGCCAACACAGGCAAAGTTACATTTTTGCGCCCGCAACCAGCCCCCCACCCCCCCGACCCCCTGTCGCGCTGGGCCTGCTCCCTATCAGTATGTTTTTTGTTTTTTTCACTTACCTTCGGTGCGGGAGAGCAGCGGCGAGTCAGCGCTGGTCCGGTGGGAGGAGCTCCAGGTGGGGAACTGAAGATAAGCTGTATGTTATGTATGAAAACCCCTGTGAGGGAAAACCTGTGTGGACTTTTGGAGTTGGATTCAATAAAAGTGGGCACAGAAGCCATTAAAAAGAAGTCATAAGCGAGTGGAAGAGTCCTTAATGCGCTACCATTTTAAAGCTAAATCTCACAATACATATGGTAATGTAAACACAGTAGAACATATGTATAGAAACTGGGACATTGGGCAGCAATTATTATTTTGAATGCATCGAAAAATATATATATTTTATCAATTTGTTCTCCTTACTGTAAAATTGGATTTCTGGAGCCCCTCAGCTTCTTTAGGCGAACTTAGCAAGTGCCAGTTTTTAGAGCCATATATTTCGCCGTCATATAACAGATAATAAACAAGCACAGCATTCAGCCTGGTGGAGTTGTTACATCTCCTCAGTAATTCTGAAACAGCTTCCTGGTAAACTTGCCCAGAACTCTGAGATGTTATAACAAAGTCTTCTGTAACGGTTTCACATGCTGGAATCAGAGAATCCCATTTGTAGACTTTAAGCTTAAGCGGGGAAAAAAAATAACAAAACACAAAAGATGTGTTAGAATGTGTCATACAGCAGTCTTTTTTTGGTTTTGGTTTTGTTTGTTTTTTGTACTGGGACAACCATACTCACTAGGGAATATCAGGCATGCCTAATATACACTAATGGGGACCTTATATATTAGCACACTTTGTGCACCACGTTGCTTACGTTCATTTTTACGCTTGCATTCCGAATGACGTGCGACATACCCTATGGATGGACAAGACATACAGTGGGTATAGAAAATAATCACCCTCCCCCCTTTAAAATAATCACATTTTGTTGCTTTGCAACCTGAAATGAAGACAGACAGTTTTTGTTTTATAACATCCAAGTACAAGATAGAACACCAACATGCCAGAAAAAAATAAAAAATAAATTCAAAGAAAAAGGATCACCCCTCCTAAAAATGACTTGTAAACTCAATCAGGTGTAGCTAATCACTTTCTCAATGGCACACAAATCCAGTGAACTTTCAACCGTGGTCAGCTGTGGTCATTTTGATTAGCTGAGCATGCAAAGAGCTATCCTGGAGCATTTCAGTCGCTGGTAGTGCAGCTGAGGCAAACAATCAACTATGGGTGGCAAGGCACTGTCAGAAGATCTCTGGGATAACGTTGTGGACAGGCACAAGTCAGGAGGTGGATACAACAAAAATGTCAAAGGCTTTATCAATGCCTAGAAGCACATGGAAATCTGTTATTAAGAATTGGAAGGTATTTGGTACAACACAGACTCTCCCTGGATCAGGACATCGCTCCAAACTGGATGAAAGAACCAGGAGGAAACTGGTCAGAGAGGCTTCCAAGAGGCCTACAGCAACTCTAAAGCAGTTGCAGGAATTTAGGACAAAGTGGTCATTGTGAGCATGTGACAACAATATCACAAATTCTCCACAAATGTGGCTTGTATGGGAGAGTCCAAGAAAAAGACACTCCTCAAGAAAGGCCACATGCAGTCAGGACTGAGCTTTGCCACAACGCACCTTGAAGATTCTGAGGCCACATGGAAAAAGGTGTTATGGTCAGATGAGACTAAAATTGAATTGTTTGGCCTCAACACCAAACGATATGTCTGGAGGAAATCCAATACAGCTCACCATCCAAATAACACCATTCCCACAGTAAAGCATGGATGTGGTAATAGCCTGTTATGGGGGTGTTTCTCTTCAGCAGGGACTGGAGCAATTGTCAGGATAGAAGGAAAAATGGATGGGGCAAAATACTGTCAAATTCTTGAGGAAAATATGCTCCCCTCTGCCAGAAAGTTTGTGAACGTTCATTTTGTGTGAATAATGACATAAACCATTGTTCTTAATATATTTTATTTTCAGGTTGACTGTATTGCTATGCAATACAGAATTATGGCTACTAGATGGAGCAGCGGATCATAGGAATTACATATTTCCTATGCTCCCTAGCTCCATCTAGTGACCGTAATGCTGTATTAAATCACAATACATTTGGCCTGAAATGAAAACCTATTAGGAATGTTAATTTTTTGCCATTATTCACATAAAATGAATTGTTTATAAATAAACCCCTCAGTGTAGGGATAGGCACAATCTGGCCCTTCAGCTGTGGAGAAACTCCAAACCTCATCATACATCTGCCTCTGGGAGTCATGCCTGTGACTCTGAGTCTTGTAATGCCTAATGAGAATTGTAGTTTCACCACAGCTGGAGGGCTGGAGTTTGCCTACCCTTGCCCTAATGTATAAAAGACATTACGTATAGGTAACATATACTATGCAGGAATTTGTATTAAAAACGTATGTAATGTGTTTTTAGGTTAAGGTTATAATATATTTTTGTATATATTAGGAGTTTATATTGGTATATATGTTTGAAATACGAATATAGAATATTGTATGGTGTATTTGAACTCCCTGACAGCCACAACAGCTACATTTTCAAACTAGATCTTGATCTTCTATATGTAAACCATATTTTTTACACAAATGTTTGTATATCATGTATCACAAGCCTGACCTCTGCCATGTCTAAATAGCACCACTGGTGATCCACTGCTAACAAGTCAGAGCAAAGTCTTAATGTGACATACACTGGGGGGAATTGGTCAAAGCAATTGGGACAGTTTTAGCCTCTTAGATAATTTTTTTTATATGCATATCTGTCTTTTAGCATGTGCCCCTGTTTTGACCTGAGCTTGCACTACTTTTCCAACCGCACGTGTTTTGCACATCTTTTCATCAGAGCTTGCACTACTTTTTCAATTGCACCTGTTTTCATTTGCACCTGTTCTGGACTGTATGAAACTGGAGCGTCACCTAACAAAACAATCGCAACTTAATAAGTCTCCATGACCACTTCTTCAAGAAGCCACAGTTAAGCTTTTTGCCTGGAGTTACAAGTCTTCTTTCCTGGAGTCTATTAAACCTCGTTTATGAACAACATTACCCTAGCATCATAAATCTGCATAAAAAAAGTGCATCAAATATATTCCGTGCACGTTCAAACACTCGCAATTGCTATGATAAATTCCCCCCAGTATGTAGCCATACAAAAGAAAAAAAATAAACTTACTGCAAGCTTGAAAGAACAGTCCTTCGAAAGATCTGACACTCCATAAATGTATAAGATATCTTCGTCTTCAAATGCACTTATGGCAACAGGGGCAAAAAAGTCTTTGGCGTAGTAATGAAGCATTTTCCATTTCCCTCCATACTCTTAAAGATAAAAACAATATAAAAGATCTGGTAAATAATACCTATGATAGTAAAAGGTCTGGATGTTTGTGTACATCAGGTTGCCACTATTGTAGTGGCTAAGTTGGGAATTTCCAGCTCACAGCCTGTGCTTCCCCATATTCAGAGATAAGATAGTGGAGGGCCTTTATCAGCCAACAAACACAAGCACACTTGTAAATGAGGAGTTTGGATATGTATGTGCCTATGAAGGGGGTTTTTAGCTGTCAAATGTTTATCTAATATATATGACCAGCTTTAAAGTACAACTAGCAACTAATGTTCAGTCTAAACAGGTTTAAAATCCTTTTATTATGTGATGCACGAGCCTTGTAAAGCAAGTAAAAAAGTCCTTTACTTCCCTGACTGAGCCACATCCTCCTTTGTGTTTCACACTCTCCCCCTCATATAAACTTGCAGGGTTTCAGCAACAGAGGCAGTGTTGTCCATCCAGAAAGCAGTAGACTGGACTAGGTGCAGTCAGGGGCTGATTGACTAGATACAGACTTGTAAATCATGTCCCCTGCAACATTTTTTCATCCCACTGTAATGTAAGTAGACACAACCTATATAGAGGTGACAACTCTGCTCTAAATTCTGGAGCAGTGCAGCATTGTTGTCACACCATCACAGGAAGCTGCTTAAGGTGGACTTTAAAAGGAAGGATCAACAGGTATTTGTTGAGAAAGTGCAGATACATTTATTAGAAGTGCTGCAGCCCATTTTTTTTATGGGAGGCCATAGTTGTACTTTAACTGTAAAATGTTGCACTTAATATTAAAAGAAATGTAAAGGAGCCAGCAAGGCCATTTGTATGTATGTATGTATGTATGTATGTATGTATGTATGTATGTATGTATGTATGTATGTATATAATAAATACATGCCTATATCCTATGAGAATGTATTTGCTGTAAGTGACAACACTTCCACTTATCTGGATAACCGATAACATTATTCAGTGCCTCTGTCTGAGCCTGCATCCTCAAACAATTATATGGTCATGAAGACGCGCAAAAAATCTGCCTCATTATTTTCATTACCATTTTAATATAGTTAGAAAGCGTCATAGATTTGTCCAAATATTCCTTTAGGAAATGCTATGCCGGCTGCCCTCTGCTGGCTCTACAGCAATGTTTCTCATTCCTGGCCTTGAGTCCTATCAAATACTGTGATGGAAATTTACCAAAACTGGAGCAGATTTGCACTGCAACCAATCAGCTTCTCTGTCTCATTTTCAAATCCTACCTGAGCAAACTGAAGAGAAGCTGATTGGTTGCAGTGCAAATCTGCTACAGATTTTGTCTACTCCATTTTTGATGAATTCCCCCCTTAATGTTTTGGAGATTTCTGCACAGGCAGCTATATTCAAAAATATTCACAGGCAAACTATATTCCTAAAATGCCAAATATTCCATTTGTACAAATGTGAGGTTACCAACAAGACAATGGATTGAAAGAATGGTTTTGGAAACCCTGCTCCTGAGGGGAAAAAAATTTACAAAAATCAAATCAAGTTGGTGACATCAATAGCACCACTCTGACTGAGACCTGTCATAGTTGGACTAGGAATGAGGGAAGACTCTAAAAGGATCCCATACAGCGGTACAGACCTGGGAAGACATGATTTACTGAACTGTCTCCTACAAAGCAGTATGCAAATCTGTTAACTTCTAGAGAGTGGATTTATAAAACTTCTGCCCAGCGATACGTTGAGTGAATGCTACCCGTACGGCATTCGACTATCATATGGCTGGGCGGAAATTTTATAAAATCAACCCCCTAGATGTTTTTGCTTTCAGATATATGCATTTCTATATTCAGCTTTTCTATGTATCCCGATGCGATATACAAATGGCAGGAACATTTAGAGCAGGTCTTGACAAATTCCAAAATAGGACCAACAGAGCTTTATTTTCAACGACAGTTGTCATTTTCAATTACAGTTTTAATTGGCGTGTGCGTCAATACTTGACATGTGTAGCGCAATTGCCGTTTTCATACGTAGGTGCACCCGAATTCTGTTTCCATTACTATGTGTGCGTTCACGGGGTAGCACATTGGAGATGACAGGTCCTCTTTAAGGTGACATTAGGGGTCTAGTGCCACCTTTCCACTTCAATAGCTTTAGCTGGGGAATGACAGCTGCCTGCTGAGGCAGCTGAATGTAAACACAGCAGGCAGTGGCTGGGTGCAATAGCCAGCTTGCTATTGGCTATTTCAAATTGCAATAGCCAATAGCAAGCTGGCTTCTACACCAGGGGAAAGTTCTCCTTTAGGTCCTCCTCTGCTGATTGACAGGAGGCAGTGGCAGGTGCAATAGCCAGCCAGCCTGCTATTGCAATTCAAAATGGAGGGGCAGAGGGTAGGGGGGAACAGCTGCTGACAGTGGCCTCTCCTCCCCGCTGGGTGCCGGCTGTAGCGGTCTGTGTCCCCTCTGATCCCTGCTGCCTCTGCTGATACAGGCAGGAAGAGCAGCAGGGATAAAATTGAACAGAGACCGCAGCATGCAGCATCCAGGGAGGAGGAGAAAGGGGGGGGGGGGGCACAGCTGATGCAACGGAGGAGGAGGTGGACAAAGCCCAGGCATCAGGACGTAATTTCTAGTTGCCATGGCAACCTGGTGCCTGGGATTTGTCGAGCCCTGATTTAAAGACTAGATAAGAAATGTAGGAAACAGACAATTTTATCAACAGATAAACTAGCACCAAAAACCTAAAAATAAATAAGTAATCACCATATCCTGTAAACAATCGTGGACAACAAAAGCACCCTGTACAGATTGCAACAACAGCGTAAGGAGGCTGGTCTATGCATTACAAGGGCTCCGATAAGCTGGAAAGGTTTGACCTTTTTCCATACACCTAAGCTAATGCAGTACAGACTGATAGTGATGAGGTGTCACCATTCAGCACTACTTCACAAGCATGGTAAAATATATGCATGGCATATTGGATGGGGTATCGCATAACATGCACTTGTTGATGTGATTTTAGGTGAAGAAAATAGGTGTATGAAGGTTGGACCATTTCCAATCAGATCCCTAAATCCCATTAGGTACACGATTTCGGTGCTCCTGGTGCACTAAATCCCTGGACAATATGAAATGCAGTCCTAGCTTCTTGATCCCACCACCTAAGCATTACTTTTGGCCCATCAGTTTTCTTGCTGACTAACGCTAGAGTGTATTTCCACTTTCGCAGGTAAAATTGAGAAGACCCCACGATATATTTGTTATGTGTTCCTGCTAACAAGCAGGTCAGCGTGCATGAAGTACATATATTCCATTTCAGGATTGTGCTATGCCTTGCATTATATATACACACACGAGTACAGAGGTACTTGCTTACCTATGGATGACCATGAAGGAGTCTGCCAGATATCATTTAGTTGCCAGTAGAGTGCCCCCATTGTAAAGCCAATGCCATTCACAATTTCACTTCGACTACGTCTGTAAAACTCAGTCTGAAGCTTTACACACTGTGCTTGCATGACCTAGAGGAGAGAAGGCAACTCTCAACTCACTATCCATAGCCATTAAAAGCACCCAGGCCATAAAATGACCGTCACCTGAACATGATTCCATCAGGATGAAACAATGATCATAACTACACTGAGGTATCTGTAACAGACATCACTGGGTGGTTCTCCATCAGAAAAAAAAAAAATCATCAGCCAGCTTTGAATTTTTAATGGCCACTAGCCTGCTGTCCCAGGAAAAACAACCTGGCTTTGGTATACAAGTTAAACAATTACAGCTATACTAAAATTTCTGTCTGGGATGTCATCTACTTGGCAAGAGTTGTGTTCAAGTGACTGAACACTAATGGTTTCAGATCAATTTTATAGAATATTTGTAGGTTTAAATGTTTTTAGATGGATATTTTACTTTTTTTTTTTAAACAGATACCTCATCTTTTTCACAAGCTAACATTTTATAAATTAATAATTATTCCCAATGTACAATGAGTTATCTTAAAGGAGAACTATGGGGTCAGTGTTTTTCCCCATACTTACCTTCAGTCTTGCAAAGTTGTACAGACTTCCTTTCCTGTACTAAAATGGCTTACTCCGATTTCTCTACACACTGTGATCCTTTCATAGTGTGCATTAGAAGCTGCAGCAAGTAACATAGACTCCTTCTCATTTCCTGGCTGGAGGATGGCCAGCATCATCCAGTGCTTTCCACCCCAGCCTTTCTGTCCCTGGCCTGTCCCTTGCATTCACTGAACATGCTGGCTGAATAAAATACATCATAATATTGATATGCAGCATTACATATACTACACATTCCCTTTACATTAGCTAGTAAATGGATCACTTTATCTTGCACTGTGTCTACTATGCTTTTACCAGTGTTTAACACACTACAACATACAATGTGAACAAAGGATCAATCCTGGAGAAAGAGTCAAAGATTTACCTGGGTAAGGTACAATGTGTGCTGAAATTCTTTAATGGGGTCACTGTTCATTGGCATATTGTAATGCAGAGCAGCCTGGTCAATCATCTGCTTGTTGCCTCCAGAATGATGCTGCCGATGTTCAGTAAAATTGCTTGTATAGGACCAGTCTTCAGGAGCCGAGATCTAAGAATGAAGGTGTATGATCGTATGCATCAAAGCGATTAGAACAAATGACATGCTCACTTTAGAATATAGTAAAGACAAAATGCAAGAACAAATATATATTACTCACATTGCCATTAGTTTTTGTCAGCCAGAGCCGTAGCTAGCTCCTTTTGCGCCAGAGGCAAGAACAGAAAATTGCACCCCCCAAGAGATGTGTTATGTCACCCATCGCTGTGCATGCACGGCATCATGTGACGTAATGCTCCCCACCTCAAGGATGGCGGCGCGCATGCGCAGAATGTGCTGGTGGCCAAATCAAAAATAGCAGAAAAATGTGTTTCATTTGACAAAACTAATGAAAACATTTGTAGTTTCTGTTCATTTCGTCCAAAACAATGTTTTTGTCTTTGCACATGTCTAATAATATGTGTGTGGGTGTTTTTTTCTTTTTACTGTTGGGGGACTTCGGGGAAATAGGGGTCTAAGCAGACCCCTGACATTTCCATTTTGAAATAGAAAAAAGAGATTGGAGGACACAGAGTCGGGGGAGAGCAGTGGGGATCCGAGGAGAAGCTGGAGCCTGTACCGCTCCTCTTCTCCCTGCCGAGCCGCGGCTGTGTTGGCCACATGGCGCCCCTGTTGCCAATAGCGCCCTGTGCCATAGCAACAGGGGCGAGGGGGCGCAGCCAGGCCAGTCCTGGCTACGCCCCTTCTCAGCTGCGCCTGAGGCGAGTGCCTCACTCGCCCCATGGTAGCTACAGCCCTGTTGTCAGCTTCCAGTATTTACAGTGGAGTGGGAAGAAAATGGCATATTAAAAAGATTTTTTTGTGAAAAAGTGAGTTTTACACATCTTCAAGGATATGGCAGTGTAATTTAACATTATGGTCCAAAAATCGTCCAAGAGAGTTATTTTGGATCCATGAAATGGTGTTGGTGATTGGATGCTTATTTTGGGGGAACTATGTTTTTAATGGATAATGGTAACAATGGTATTTTTATATTTTGTATGTGCAATGAACTGTGTTAAACATACAGCTCATCATCTGTATATACATTTTGTATTTAGCCCATGGTAGTCTATTTAAACAAGTATATGTATATTGCATTAGTTTTTATACATGAATTGATCCCCTTCATTAAAAAAAGCCGACACTGACTAGCAAATGTGCTGTTATCAATATAGTCAGGGGGACACACACTCACTACACATCTAAAGGGCTCAAGCTTGCGGAAGTACTTGATAAATTAGCACAAATATAAATCATGGAATTAAGTATTGTGTGCAAGGTTGCATCTGGGCTGAATTTAAAGTCTACAGATTAAATTCACTAATTTCTCTCCTCAAGGCAAAATTAATTGAGTTTCCATATTAAAATAAAAAATATAATAGGCTTATTTGTTAAAATTTGTGCTGCACGAGGATGTTTTCTATAGCAATTGACAACCAAGCCAAACAGCTGGCAAATTTGGTACTTGCCCAAAAGTTGTCAATTTCTGCTAATAATGATTTCCAACTTTAGTTCTCAAAAGGAATAAAACAAAATGTGCTGCATGAAAGGAAGACTTCAATTAAATGCAAGTTATACATCTATACTATAACTGTGACTTTGAAATGTGGGCACACATAAAAGAGCCCATACAACTCTAATGAACAGTCAATAAATGAGTTGCTTTACCTGAGCGATTGTACTAAAAGATGGCCAAGACTGGAAACCATATTCAGAAGCAAAGCGAGGCCTAGGGTATGACTTCCAATTCCAACAGTCTGTCTCATAGTTGTAGTAATGTGTGTCACCATAGTGATTGTCATAAGGATCTTTGGAAAGCCAATTTTCTTTGATCGTCTCTTTCCCGTTAGTGGGGCTAGAAGCAATGAAAGGACGAGTCCCATCCATCTGTAGAGATGCAACGAGAGATCTCGATATGAATTGTAAAAAGGCAGAAAGCAAGATGTAGATAGCTTTTAAAAGGTGCCCATACACCTTACGATTATCGGACGCTTTTCGTATGCGATCAAATTTTTGTCTGATAATCGTATGTGTGCATTGCCGCGTCCGACCAACATTACTGTACAATCGTACGACTTTTGACGGTCAAGCATGTTTGAAAACTTTGCTCGATCGTACGATTGTCGTAAGGTTGCTGGCGTTTCCGTCCGTCAAGTGCCGTATGATCTACACTGCGCTTGCGCTAACAAAAATACGGCAAATCAATTACCGCATTTCGTCCAGGTGCTTTTCGTTAATTACGGCTAAATTAATCGTGCGATCATCGTGGCAGGATGGGGCTGTCGTACGAAAATCGTACGACTATTCGATCATCGGACGAAAAGTTTTGTCCGATAATGGTAAGGTGTATGGGCACCTTTAAGAAAGAACTCTGGTGTCTAAAAATCTCCCCAGCTACTGCAGGTATTTGACCCTTCCTAGGCCATATGTCGTTACAGGATGGAGCAGGAAACACTGCATGACGTGGGAGGAGGAGGAGGCATTCACACACCCAAAACTGTGGAATACCTGCAGTGGCTGAGGAGCAGGGAAGAGGTGTTCCAAGACACAGGCCAATTGAAAGGTAAATATAGTTTGGCTTTTAACCACTTGCTGCCTAGAGCAATTTCTTACATTTGCGCACACATGATAAAAATCAGAATTTTTGGCTAGAAAACAGCTTCAGGCCCCCAAACAATTATGCATTTTCTGAAAGCAGAGGCCCTGTAGAATACAAAGATTCTAGTTGCAATTTTTTATTTTGCACCGTATTTGCGCAACTTTTTAATCAAACAAGTATTTTTTGGATAACATGCACTAAAATGAAATTTAGTGCGCTGCAAAAAAACTATAATAACCAAAATTCCCCATAGTCGACGCTTTAAACGCCTTTACGGCTCATCAATTTAGTGCTAACAGTGATTGATGGGCCTATAATTATTTCTCTAACTCCAGCGCTCGCGACAATATTTTTTTTGTTTAACAATTTTTGTTTTTGCACGTAGACTCATCTGACGCGTGTTTGCGTTGTATGTGCGTGCACGTGAGGGGTGGGGAATTTATTTTTCACTCAGCTTTATTGCTATTGCATAGGGGGCTAACAAGGTCCTCTTTATGGAGACATCAAAGGTCTTTCAGACCCGTCACCTAGGGACCCCAAAGAAGCTGAAGCAGAGATCTGCTTCACCAGCTTCTTCTTCTGGCTCTAGGTCCCGGAGACTGTGCCCAGTCACACCGGAAGTGTTGTAATGCACATCACTTCCGAGTCCAGTGATCGGAGGAGAGCTCAGCAGCTGGAAATCACTGATCTCTCCTCCAATCAGGGGAGACCCTCCACGCTGGTCCCGTCCTCACAGGAGGGAAAGATGAGCATGGGAAGCCGATGGCGGTACCGGTGGCGGAGGGGGACACGGCACTGCACCGTACAAGTGATTCCGCAACTGTATAGACGGCGGATCGCTTGTATTTAAAACAGCAATCGCTGGCTGTTTAAATTGGTACCAAGAACACAGCTGCAGCAGCTGTGTTCTTGGTATAACCACTTCCAGTGGATGACATGCTGGAAGTGGTTAAAGAGCTTATCTTCTTTTAGAAGTGACCCTGTGGCCACTGGGCCCCCTGTGGATAATCCAGCTCTAATTGCAATAGATCTATATACTGTAGACATGTTCTAGTTCTGCAACCTGCAAGACCAAAATCATCTTTAAGTCATTAAAAGCAACACGTTTCCAATGTTAACCACACAATCATGGATGTAGCCCATGTTAACCACACAGATCAGACAATTATCTCCTATAAGGTTACATGATTTCTACATTGCTTCACTGTAGCTTTCTTTGATTGGCCAAAAACAGAAATGTTATTTATTCAGCCGTTAATATATAACTACAACAGATCTGTACCTCAGAGAAAAAAAAATGTGAAAGTTGATAAAAATGTAATTATTACTTACCTTAAGAACAAGTTCTCTGATGGTCTTTATGTAGAGAGTAATGTAGTCTTGTACATAAACCTCTCTCATAGAGCTAGGTATTGAAAACCAGTTAGTGGCAATTGCAGCCTCATTCTCATTGTTGCCGCTCCAGACAATAATACAGGGGTGAGATTTAAGTCTCCTGATCTAGATCAACATTTGCAACAAAAAGAATAGAGTGTGAATAACTGTGATCAAGCAACATAAGCATTTATATTACTTTCAAGTAACAGGGCCACCATTAAAAACAAGCTTACAAATGGAAAAGCTTTGTTTATAATGAATTAGACAAAAGCATATTTATTTTTAAATATTAGAGTTAGAACTGTGATCAGTGTGTAACATAAGCCATGAAAGTCCGCGCGACTACTATGGGGCCTGGGGGTGGAACGGGGCCCCATTAGGGAGTTTGCTGGGACCTAGAAGAGTTGGATGCATGTGTAGATAACACATACCTATTACTGTATTAAAAAGGATTTCAGAGGTTGCTGTTGACACTGACCCTGTACCCCTGTGACATTTCCAAGAAGAACTGCTGTTAGAAGTACAGGGCATGGCTGTCAATAGTCACAGGCTGTGCAATAAGGAGAATTTGTTTAGCTGTCATAGCAGTGTAGACTTCCTGCCCTCAGATCTTCTGGTCACGCTGGCCAGCACTGAAATGAATCCTGTCTGCTTAACACTTCCTCAGGCTGTAAAAATCCAAAGGCTTCCTCAATTAAAAACTGACAGCTGTTTGTAGTTCTTAAAAAATCCACAGTAAAATAATTTTGTACTAGGGTTATAGAGTAATTGTGTGCTGGGCTACTAACAAATATGTCATACTGTGAAATATTGTGATGGTCATTGTTATGGCTACTACAACTCTTGTTTTTTGTTGTTTTTGTTTTAACAGACTACTGCACCACCTCTTTCAGCACTTTCTTGTTGTGGCAGAGTAGGGATTGCTGGATTTTACCCTAAAGCCCTTAAATCTGAGATGCTAATAAAGACTGGTGAGCTACTGTGAATGGAATGGTTACAAGTTAATTCTGGGCACTGATGTCCACCTATTCCCAGACAATTTCTTGCTCTGGTCCCTAGTAGTGTACCGCAGTGGCGTAACAACCGGGGGGCGGGGAGTGCGTTTGCACCGGGCGCATAGATGGCGGGGGGGCGCATAGATGGCGGGGGGGCGCATAGATGGCGAATGCACCCGGCTCTGTCATCGGGCGGCTGCTCGCTCCTCCGAGGCCACTGCGGGCGGCCCTCTACAGGGCCTGATTAGAGGGCGCGTCTGTCTGATCCAGCCAGCCCGGATCGCATAGCCGCGTCTGATGCGGGTGCATGAGGGAAGAAGCCACTGCACCAGGGTCCACGGCAGACCCCCTCACAACCAGGGTCCAGGAAGCCCCCACTGACCACTAGTCTAAGGTAAGGTGACACATTTGTTTAAGATAAAATCCAGGGACATTTTTAAATGTCCCGGGAACATAAAATAAAACTTTTTTTTTTCTAATACTCACCTGATTCCTGGATCCACCAACAAGCGTGTGCTGGTTACTACTTAAACCGGCGCGCGCAGTGTGCAGCTTCTGAGAAGATATGCTATTAGCGTAGCGGGAGCTATGCAAAATGCGCAGCCGCCTTCCCCGCTATGCTAATAGCGTATCTTCTCAGAAGCTGCACACAGCGTGCGCCGGTTTAAGTAGTAACCAGCACACGCTGTATGCAGCTTCTAACAGCGTGGGAGACGGGAGGCCGCGCTTGCTGGTGGATCCAGGAATCAGGTGAGTATTACAAGAAAAAAAAAGTTGTATTTTATGTTCTATTCTTAGTTCTATAATGGCATTGTAGTACTTTCAGGTGGAATACAGCTTCATAACATATCAGCTAGGGAACTACAAGTCCCAGCATGCCCTCATTGCCCCTGTACAACAACCAGATATTGCCGTTCCCTGGGTGATATGTGTGTGTGTGGGGGGGTGTACATGGACAATGATGGCATGCTTGGACTTGTAGTTCCTTAGCTGATATATGTGTGTGGGGGGGTACAGTTCCAGTGGATGTTTATATAATATGGGGGGGGGGCGAAAAAAATGTTCTGCCCCAGGCACCCATAACTCTGGTTGCGCCACTGGTGTACCGTACTGATTATGCTGACCGTTCTGCTGCTTCTTGCTTTATACATGCTTTATGTTTAGATGAATGACAGTAGGGAGGTCATCGGGGGAAACCAATCAAAAGTTTGCTATCGGGCCCCATAATCTGTAGTTATGTCCCAGACTGTGATGTGCAAAATTCTAAATGTTATTGTATGCAATTCATGACAGTAATGTATACTGTATAACATACTTGTATAATAAAATGTTTTGTTGAAAGTTGTTAGGATTATTTTTTTAATAAAACTATTTGACTTCTTACCTGATGGGTGACTTCTGTTCTCACTGTATCCAAAAACCAGTCATCAGTGGGGTAAAGAGAACAAGCAAACATAAAGTCATGCCAGACCTACCAGAACAACAAATAAATATACATACATGTTACAATGCTCTTTAAAAAAAAAAACAGACAAAAAACAAAAACTTCTTAATACTGGGAGCTGTTAGTGTGTAATGGGAGTCTTGGGAAACATTAGACCAAGACTGATGCACTTATTTTGTGCACCACATAAAAAAAGGTTAGGGCCTGTTACCACGTAATGCGTTGGGGATGCACTGGACATTTTTTTTTCAAGCGTAGCCATAACGCAAGACAAGCCATTTGCCCTGTTCCAGATGTGCTAAGTTTACACCACCGCATTGGGGTGGTGTAAGTTTGAAAAAAGTATGGCATGGATTGTTTTTTTAGTGCAGCGCAGTGCGTTGCGGTACAACAGCATTGCACCGTGCTGTGCCCATAGAATTTCAATAAAGTTTTAATTAAAAAAAGGAAACTGCAATGTGTTGTGATCAGAGCATTAGCACTGTGCCAGGTACATGCACAACAGCATCCGTACGGTGTAGCACAGCTGCTGGTGTGAATGTGCCTTTAAAGAATAGTTCCACACAACAACAAAAAAATCTAATAGAACATTGACAATAAAATGCTGATGCTTTGACTTATCTCCACTACACCTACTCTGGATTTGCGTTAAATTACAGTATGCATAGCTTCCAAAGGTAAACAGACACAAACCATCAGTATATATACCTCCTTCTAGCCAATATACTCTAGCCATCTTCCCATATTAATACTTGTAGAAATCTGTACACATGACTTGGTGTGTAATTACCATTATTCCCAATTCATTGCATAATCTATAGAAGTCATCACTCTCATATATCCCTCCACCCCAGACACGAAGAGCGTTCATATTGGCATCCACAACTGACTGGAGCAGGACACGGAGCCTATTATAAATAGAAAAAAATACAACCACTGGCACAAATAATAATACACACATTGTTTTTATAAATGATCAATAATTCAGACTGTAGTAGTAGAAAAAAAAGAAACAAAATGCGAAGACCAAAATGTTGTAATGTTATACCTCTGCATCATTACCTGGACTTATTTATAAATAACTTCCACCAATCTATATCATTGTTTCCTCATTTCAATCTCTATTTTTGGAATTAGTTTAATTTAAAGTGTATGGAAAACCAAAACTTTTTTTAGTTTTGGATGAAGTGATGAAGGGTTAAAACTCATCTGTTAAGTTTTTATTGCGGTCTGTGTTCGTGATAGGGAAATACACCCTATGGATGTGTCCTGTGACCATTCTTTCTGGCACAGAAAATGATTGAAAATCCAACATTTCGGAGATTTTACAGGAAGAGGAAGTGAGGGGAAATCTTCCAGCGGTAACATCTGTTTCAGTGACAAGTCAACTGTCAACGAGGGTGATATTCCCTAGATTTGGAGAGATTTCCGTTAATTTCCTGTTGTGTTTTTGGGACAGGAAGTAAAACAATCTCTCTCCAGCATGATGCAGACAGCAAAAAAACATCTGACAGGAGTTTTAACGATTTCCTGCTCTATCCAAAACTAACCAAAGAAAATTGTCTTTAGATGCACTAACTTTTGCATGTATAAGTTTGTGCCCTGGAAATGTCTATTAGAACAAAATAATGGAGGCGCCAGAAAAACAGTCCAAAGGAGTTGTTATTGGTAACAATAAAAGCATCAAGTTATTTTTGTTACCAATAAAAACTGCTTTGGACTCCCTCGTCTGGTGGCACCTCCATTTTTATTTTTTGTTTGTTTTAACTGACTTCTCCAGGCCCCCTTCCTGCCCTCTAAGTGGCCCCTTGTAGGTGAAAGTGCAGTCACTACCAAGCAATGGAGCCCTACAAAATAAACCCACATTATAACTATGGGGCGTTTACTATAAAAAAAAAAACACATCGCCTTTCACTTGCATATGTATCTACTGCTAACAGACTGTTTGCATCCGGGTGCGATTTTGTCCACAGGTAATTGCAGGCTGTGCAATTATTTGTGACTGTCTGTGGATTATATAATGCCTCCTGCCCTCCAGTAGATCGCACGGGTCTCATTGAAAAATTCACAGATGTGAATGGGGCCTAACAGTAGAAAACCAGCTATATACTAAAACCATTAATGTAACTACTGCACCAGCAGTTGTGACATTAAAGTGCAAATGAAGCCAAAACTACTTTTTAGTTTTGGGTAGAGTGGAGAGGAATTAGAACACCTGTCAATTCTTTTTTGATGTCAGTGTGTGTCATTCGAAAGTATATTGGAATTAGTCCAATGGATAAAAAAGTTCTGGTGACCCTGCTGACCACCAGGGATTTCCCTCACATTGGAGGGATTTCTTCTCACTTCCTATTGTGGCCATTGGACAGGTAGTGAAGAGAAAACCTTCCCAATTGGACAGAAAGGACAAAAAAAAAAAAAAGATGACTGGGATTATAACCCTCCTTACTCTATCCAAAATTGAAATAAAAGTTTAGCTTCAGTTCTACTTTAAATTAATATCTGTATATCCTGTTACTACACCATGTACTGCACTTACATACTGAAGCCAAGTGTCCCTGCATTTACAGCCAACATCAGACTACATTGAAAACCCCACAACCATACTTTTTCAGGCTTTAGTAGAATAGTGTAGTCGGATTATTAAAGCGTATTTACAATTTGTTGCAGAAGGTTTCTGTACAACATGTGTTGTGCAGACACATTCTGGAAAGTATAATGAGACAAACATGCTCATCAGCAGAATCTATTACATAAGATGAACAGGGAGACATTCACAACCATAGTCTAAATTGACATTGAGCCGAACCTCTTCACTACTATTTAAAATAGCAAGCCGTGACATTACTTTGAGGAATCTCTGCTACCCCATGATACCCCATATCTTACCATATAAAGCAACACAGAGTTTGCCATGGCACATATGCAGTAATGTAAAAGCAGGGCTGCCAATGCTTTTGAGGGCCATTAAAATGATCAATGTTAAGGCTATATTTTAAAGTATTTATTTAATGGTAAGGTATATTATGAAACTATAGAAAATTAAAGACTGAAATATTTTAACTACAGAGACAAATCTCAGTTCCAGAATTTGCCTAGAACATCGTATTTATCCCTAGAACATGGCACTTACTTTTCAGAGTTAACTCTGTCTTGGAAAGAATCGGCTGGTATCCAGTTAGAGCCTTTCAGGAATATGGGAACTCCATTAATCATCATATAGAAAGAGAGGCCGGGAGAACCAGCAACTGGCTCCTCAATGAGATCCACTGTGCGAAAGTAAATCTGTGGTAAAACACAACACTACATTTAAAGAGGTTCTCCAGGAAAGCAGTGACCCTTACAGGAATGAATGGCAAATTATTAATAAATAGCAATCACTATGCATCAAATGCAAAACAGATTGGCAAATATAGTGACTGTTACTGATAGCTATTGAAAACTGTACTTAGCAAAGTTCACATGTGAGATTTTCAAAGCAGAGCTGGCCTGCGGTAATTAGTTTAAGGCTGAAAGACCCTGGCTTAGGGAACAACCATTGAGGTTAAATGATAGTGTAACATTTGGTGTAATGAGATTGTGAGCAGACATAACAATGGATAGTTTTCTTAAAACCATGGAAGCCAAGTTACTATTATTCCTTTACAACATATATTTTATATGCCAAACAGGGGTATATTTAGTTAATCTTGTAGGATGCCTTTCTAAGCATCCAAGCAAACAAGCATTTTCAAAATCAATTCTGAGTAAATGTCTTTTTTTACACAGTAAGTGGCCTTATTGAAAACTGGGCTTAGCAAAGTTCAAATTGTTCAAGTTGTGAGCAATATAAATCTTTTACATATTGGAATTTTATATGACAAAACTTTAAGTTATACAAAAGTAAAAAACAGATCTTCAGACCTTGGTTGTTGTCTGAATAATATATTCATTCTCAATGTTAAAAGTAACAGACATGTTGTAGTCGCTTTGCATTCCATATCCATTTGGCCACCACAAATTTACAGATGTATTCTAGAAGAAAAAAAAAAGATATATATTATTGCACTGAGACATTGTCATTATTCAACTCTTAATTATACCCTTAGTTTACAAGGCTATCTTAGTCAAAACCTCCAAATGATTATCTTATCTCAAATACTTGAAACAGACAACTCCAACTGAAACCCAATTATCACCCAAAGCCTATAGATCTGCCACTAGCTGTTCCACTGCATTATTTCCCAGCCCCACATTTATTGTTGGCCCACACCATTATATTTTGGAGATACCCAAGGTATAAACAGACTTCTATAGGGGCCCTCTCTCCCCCCCACACACACACAAAAAAAAAAAAACAAGCCCCTGACAATTTACAGCTGTAAAGAAGGCAAAATAACTTTTTAAAAAAACAAAAAAACACAAATATGTCTGTCTATCTTCAGATTAACACAGGCCTTTAGTCACTCAGTTGCCATGGAGATCTGTAGATTCACTCTGGCAAATGGGAAAGCATAAAGAAGCGAGCAGCCTAGCAGTGTTTCTGCATACAAAGCATGGCAAATTTAACAATGTGATCAGTAACAGACAAATGTTATAAGTATTCCTTGTAGGAACATGTGAGCAATTGTAAAACAGGAACAGTGCAGGATGTACCCTTTAATCATAAAACAAAAGTCTATTCAGTTTTAAACCACATGACTTGCTCACCTTACTGATATTAATTATTATTTCATGTGTCTGCTGTCCAGGAGATAAGATTACATCATGTGAATGATCAAGATGAAGGTCCGGCACCTTGACAGTCACACATCCTTCAAGAGGTTTTTCAGAAAGAATATCAAACAGAGGCTCAATGATAATCTTCCATTGAGATGTTGTATTATCTATAAATGAGATACAAAAAAAGCTTTTTAAAATGAAGCGGGGAGAGAAAAGCAACACTGTTTAGCTAAGTATTAGGAAGGTGGCTACCAAACCAACACAGAACTACTGGCTTCCTATTTTCCATGCAGAGCTGGCCCGTGGTAGTTAGTTTAAAGCAGGGGAGCCCACAATTTTTCGAGATCTACTTTTCAAATGACGAGCTCAATGAGATCTTCCAACGAACAAAACACCTGCATTTAGGGGCGGGAGGGGGCATGGCTGTGCATTGGAGTCAATGGCACCGCAGCCATGCCCCTCACCCGCAGTGCGATCGCCCGCACCCGGAAAGCAGGCACATTAGTGCCTGCGTTCCGGTCCGATCTGCAAAAATGCTGCAACCATTTTTGCAGATCGGACCGGAACGCAGGCACTAATGTGCCTGCTTTCCGGGTGCGGGCGATCGCACTGCGGGTGAGGGGCATGGCTGCGGTGCCATTGACTTCAATACAACCCCACTCCCCTTCCCGACCCTGAACGCAGGGAGTAAGCCGGCTTGCATTCCAGTGCGTCCTAGAGGCACCGGGGTCCTGTCCTCCCCTGGTGCTCGTGTGGCCGACGTTGCACACGGGGAGAGGTGTCCTGCCCCTTTCCGCCTGCGGCGTCTAACATGTGCAGCCAGCAGCCACACGAGCACGCAGGACCATAGATGTAGCAAGCTCCTTTTGCGCCCGAGGCAAGAAAGAAAACGCCCACCCAAAAAAAAAAATTGCATCCCAAGTCTTTGTGGAAAATAATTAACAATCTCAAGGTTACAGGTCCATCTCCAGAGATCTTAATGTTCCTGTGTTCACTGTGCACAATATTGTCAGGATGTTTACAGCCCATGGCACTGTAGCTAATCTCCCTGGACGTGGACGAAAGAGAACAATTGATCAAAGATTGCAACAAAGGATTGTTCGAATGGTGGATAAAGACCCTCCATCAACTTCCAGACAAATTCAAGCTGACCTTCAGGCATAGGGTACAACTGGGTCAGCTCGCACTATACGTCGCCATCTGAATGAAAAGGGACGCTATGGTAGGAGACCCAGGAGGACCCTACTGCTGACACAGAAACATAAAAAAGCCAGGATTGGAGTTTGCCAAAACTTACCTGAGGAAGCCAAAATCGTTTTGCAAGAATGTGCTGTGTACAGACGAAACAAAATGACAGCTTTCTGGTAAAGCCCATCATTCTACTGTTTTCAGGAAAAGAAATGAGGCCTTTAAGGAAAAAAAATACAGTCCCTACAGTCACACAGTGAAGGTTCACTGATGTTTTGGAGTTGCTTTGCTGCTTCAGGCACTGGATGTCTTGACTGTGTGCATGGCATTATAAAATCTGAAGACTACCAAAGAATTCTGGGGTGCAATGTAGGGTCCAGTGTCAGAAAGTTGGGTCTCTGTCAGAGGTCATGGGTCTTACAGCAGAACAATGACCCAAAGCACATGTCAAAAAGCACAGAAATGGTTTCAGACAAAGTGCTGGAGAGTACTGGACTGGCTAGCAATGAGTCCAGATCTAAATCCCATAGAGCACCTGTGGAGAGATCTCAAAACAGCAGTTGGGAAAAGGAACCCTTCCAATCTGAGAGACCTGGAGCAGTTGGCGAAAGAAGAGTGGTCCAAAATTCCTGTAGAGAGGTGTAAGAAACTCATTGATGGTTACAGGAAGCGATTGATTTCATTTTTTTTCCAAGGGCTGTGCTACCAAATATGAATTGAGGGTGCTAATAATTTTGTCCAGTCCATTTTTGGAGTTTTGCGTGGAATGTGTCAGATTTGGCTTTTTTCCCTCCACTTTATTTGGGTCATACCAATACAAACAAAAGAAATAAAACATGAGAATGCCTAAACATTTGTAATTGCAACCATTTTCTGCGCAAAGTGATGCGTTATCTGACAGAAGTGCCAATATTTTTGGCCATGACTGTAACAATGTCTTCTTAAAAACATGGAAGCCAAGTTACTATCATTCCTTTACCACATAATATATTTTATATGCCAAACAGTGGCATACTTAGTTAATCTTGTAGAGGATATCATTCTAAGAAACCTGAGAAAAAAGCCTTTCCAAACACAATTTTGGGTAAATGTCTTCTTTTTTTTTGCACAGTAAGTAAGTGGCCTCCCATTAGGACTTACATCAGGCCTTAGGCATTGCTAAACTTAGAATACTGGCCTGTATTGGTTTACCCTTCTAGCTTCTGGTCTGTATTGGTTTACCTTTTTAGTTTCAACAGCCTGGGCTTAGAAATCTTGCGTTAGGAAAGGTTGCATGATGTGTTTATAGCATGGGGCTTGACCTATAAGCTACCAAAATAAATAATTTACCCTGAAGTCCCTTCTTCTTTTGTAAAGGATTACGGGTAAAGGCTTTACTTGGGAGCAATGCAAAGTTAACAAAGTACTAATTCTGATCTAAAATACAAAATTATATACAAATTACAAAAACTCTCTGAATATTTAAATCTGCAGGTGTTTGCCCATCCCTGATACAATACAACTTACCAAAGGTGGTCATATAGGATATATAATCCATGTTGACAAGATTATAGGCTTCAATCCTAATATCTCTCCAGATGCCTTGAGTGGGAAAAGAAGGGCCCCAATCCCAGCTGAATGAACACTGAGCCTGAAACATCAACACACATTAAAAAAAAAATCTAAATTTAAAGCATGACTGCATTTTCAAGTTCAGAACTGAAAGCTCAAGAAAAGGCACTTGTGCCTAACAATAGACTTTTATTCGACATCTAAAACCTATCTCCAGGATTAGGTTCGCCCCAGATCACTTAGACGGCAGGGCTCATTTCCCTGGGCAGTCTGTTGTGGGGCTGCTGAGCTGGACACCTTTTCCCATTTTTCTTTGGCCTTCTTCCACAACTGCTTACGCGACTTATGCTAATCTACTTTCTTGATATTTTTATGGGGGGAGTCTCTGCCCAAATACTGCTGCTTAATTTTATATTGTGAAATAATAACTAAAAAAACTTTATGTACAATATATGTAGAGAGAGAGAGAGAGAGAGAGAGAGAGAGAGAGAGAGAGATACAAGTCAGGGTCACATGTTAATTGTGTGTTAGATGGTGTGTTTGAACCTATTCTTGTAGCAAACATCAACCTTCCTGAAGAATATCTGTAAAAAATAAAATAAAGGCAACTGGACTTGCCGTATTTTTTTAAGACGTTTCGCTGGTCATCTGAATAGCTTTCTCAATTTGAAATGAACTCTGAATTGAGAATGCTAGTCGGATAACCAGCTAAACGTCTAAGAGAAATACAGCAAGTCCAGTTGCCTAGAATTATTTTTTACAGATATGCCATGACCTGGATGAAAGAGAACCTTCACAGACTTCCTAAAGAATCGATTTAGAAGCACCTTTTTTATTTAATGGACACCTCTGCTGACCACACTTCTACCATCGTTCACCGGAACATGAACGAAGCCGCACACAATATGTAAATCTTCACTAAACCTCAAGTAGCATGTGCAACCGCCCACATTCTGCATGGAGACAGTCACATTCTCCATTGTACTGAATTAAGTTTTGTGACCCAAGGACGGGTATCCAGCGACCTTGTAAATATCGCTATATGTTTATCACAACTTTTGCTATAGTTATGATACACATGATACTAAACTATACCCTTTCTCGTTGTCTCTGTTTCCTCCTGCTCCCCTGGAACACCGCTGACTCATCAAGAATAGATTTTTAGTAGAGTGAGGAAGAGTTAGAACTTCTGACATTGCTTTTGATGCTGTTTGTTCCTCTCTTCCTGGGTGATGCCCACACACAACCCTGGGTGATGCACACACAACCCATTTCCTGTAGAGATGTCACAGCCGCACAAAAAGTGAGGGGAAATCTCCCCAGTGAGGTCACAGACAGAAATAGGAAAATGGCAAATGTTAACTTGTCACTAACCTATCTAAATCCAATATCCAATCACCTTATAATTTCTTTCTTCAGAATGTTTAGGTTCACCAACGAATATTTTAAAATACTGGAAAAATGATACATCACTTACAAGCTTTGGGAATCCTCGCTTACCTTCCTTATGAAGTTAACATGACATTCTCCTTTCTGTACGTCTGGAGGACAGTTAGGAGGTATAATATAAGAATGGTTCATGCTTTTTTCTTTTGCCCACTCTACAGCCGACTCAAACGTGATCTCTATATAATTTTTCTCTGAAACATACTTGGTGATATCAATTGTCTGTGATGGGGAAAAAAATATGAATTCTTGGGTCAAGAAGTATTGTGTGATGTAAACACTTAGGCGGTGATTTATAAAATGTCCGCCCAGCCAAACCCTGGTTGAATGACATTTGCACACATTCCCACCACTAGATGCAGCCGAAGAACTGGGAGGAATTTTTATAAATCATACCCATCATTTTTGGCATAGGTGCAATATAATATAAAAGTATCATCCAAAAAAACATTCAAAATGGCATTTTAACAAGCACATACAATGCAGGCTTGGGATAGAGTAGGACATTGTTTAAAATTACAGTTATAAAAAGTTACAACTGATAATCAGATTGTGCATTTGTCAAATCCTGCTGGCTAGCATTACACAGCTACAGAACTTCAACTACATTCCAGAGGATGATTTTCTTTATAAAGAAATGCACATGAATCAAATTAAAGTGCATGTATAGTGAAAACATTTTAGTTTGGATATAATAGGGAAGGAAACTGCAACTGTGTAAGATTAAAGATACAGGAGGGAATTTATCAAAACTGGAGCAGACAAAATCTGGAGCAGCTGTGCATGACAACCAATCAGCGTCTCTCTTCAGTTTGTTCAGTTAATATTTGAAAATGAAAGATAAGAGGTCGATTGGTTGCCATGCACAGCTGCTCCAGTTTTGATAAATTCCCTTCACAGACTTAGACAGTTCACTCCTCTTCATTTTTGACCACGATCTGCAAAGGAGATGGCCTCTTGATTGACAGCTCTCATCTCACTGAAGGTGAAACTTCTTTAGGATAAATTGGAACTTTAGATAGAATCAAATGTAGGCTTTATTATATGGCTCTTTATGGATTCAGGAGTATAGATAGGAGTCAGTAGCAGAGTATGCCAGTGTTTGTGACAATAACATTAAGGTTGGCATAATCTGCCACGTTTTTGTGTGATCCGGCTCTGAATTAATTTTATTATTGAAAGATTTTGGACTCTTGGATGTTTGTCTGGTAATCTCATTTTTAAGGGGGTCCCCGTTTTGTGAAGAGCTGCCGCACTGAAGCCATTGTGCCCCGTGATAATCTGATTTATAGATATTCACATCCAGCACCTCGTCCTCACTCAATCTTTTATAGCCATCAATGTCACCTCCACTAGGCATTTCACCTTCTTTTTTTGTCCTGATGACCACTATCAGCGAGTCCAACACGAATAATAAAATCTGAAAATTCACAGTTCTTACCAGAACAAGAGTTAATGGCACATCTTCCACTGAGGATACCCATACCAGTGACACTTGGTTGTTTACACCATGTCCATTGGATTGGGTTTTTCTGCACACCACCACACATGTACAGTGTAAACAGGGCACATAGAAAATAATTGTTCAAATGGCTCAATGGGCAACTTAACGGACATGGTGTGAACAAGCCCTAAGAAGGGAATTTGGTAGAGATACCCTCTCACTTCCAGTTGCCTGTATTATACATACACACACATACACACACACACACACACACACACAGATGTGGCAGAAGAAATCCTCCCCAACCTGAATTTTTCAGTAGAGTTGGCATATTTTTTCAAAACGTAAGTAGTAATTAAGAGAGCACACAAAACCCATCTCATGTGTCTATATATGCCCCATTTTATAGATGAATGTTTATGTAAATTTGGGCCTGTATCAAAGGCTTGGCTTTACAGGTTGCCTTTTGTTCTTTAAAGATTTAGCCAGTGTTACACCTTGGCTAGAGGTTTTCATACAGGAAAAATATAAGCAAAGTTCAACACATCAGGAAATGCACTTAGGCTAGCTACTCACATATCTGTTGAACATGTTCTGAGTTTTCACAATAGGAAAAGTGTTGAAAGTAATCGTAGAAATGGTATCAATCCCTTCACAAACCAAGACAACCTTCTGCCAAAGTCTATAAAAAACAAAAAGGACAAGATAACCGACTGTTGTTTTGGAAAAATGCCACTTAGCAACTTGCCCATCAAATCATTGTCATTTGTCAGGCACATGCCTTCTAACAAAGTTTCACATACCAGCCCCTAACCCACTTATGCTAACCTTCCCCTTGCTCCCTCACACACTACTCTGTCAAAACTGTTGCATAATAACCGATGCCATGGTGACCTACTACCATGATTTAGTGCTCAGGCCTTGTGGCCAATCTCCTTGCCCAAACACTGCTACCTTAGGGGCAACACTGTGTAAGTTCCAAAAGGATAGTTCCAACTGAATTAATATCCTTTACAACAACATTGTAGAACAAATGCCTGACTGAACTAAAATGGATTGTTTAGGGAGGCCTTCACATTGCATTGAATAGTTCAGAGAACCAAATGTGTCTACAATGATACCGTATATTGGGGATGCAGTGCCATGATCAGCTTGTAATCCAACAAAATCAAGTGTGTGTCTGTGTGATATATATATATATATATATATATATATCACACATACATACACTTTTTTTGTTCTAACTTTCATTTTCAATTTCCTGCTTATTCTACCATCTTTTTATACTAATTTTGAAACCATAGACGGGAATGACTTGTTTAGTGAAAAGCTTTTCGTGGAAGGAATTAAAGACCATATTTATTGACCTTGTCCTTGACAGAAATGTCCTTGCCAGTTCTACTAGCTGAACCTATCATATAGCGATCATCTCTGTACTTCACAGTAACAGAAGGTGTATTCTGTAAATGGATCCTAACTGGAGGTGAGCCATCATCCTCTAAAGTCAAGAATAACAAAAACGTGAAATGAGGGAACATCATTACTCAAACTGTAGAAATTATTTGGGGCAGAGTTGTTCTTTAAAATATAGAACGGATTTTGATTTGGCTCCCAACAATGATTAATTTATAATCCTTAACATGGACTTGTAATTAAAGTGGACCCAACATCAGATATATTTTCAGTTAACTGCATGCTTGATAAGTCATGTGTAAGTATGGTACTTAAAGTGACACTAAATTTAGGAGTTTCATTTTAAAAATCCACTCAGGGCTATGGTGCGGAAATCAGAAGGGTTTTTCAGATTAAAAAACTGTACTCCAGCTTCCCAACTTTTTACACATTTTAAACAGTTATTTAATGTATAATATACATTTTATAAAACGCACCTGATATTAGGAGAAAGGGTGAATTCCTTGCTGTATATCCATCCATCATGTGCGATCCATTTGTAAGCAATATCATTGAAACGCAAGTAAGGATCCTTTAAATGGGAAAAGACTCAATTATTTGGCACAACACTTCAATACTACAATTGCAAATCAACTGGCTGATCTGTTATATTGTGCACTCTTTATTTTTATAAAACATACAGCTTTCTTTTCTCTTCACCCACTGATGTCACACACTGTTACTAGTCTACCCTAAGAACCATAGGGGCTGCCACTGCTCACCTCCTTCTGCAAAATACTAGTTTCCTTGCTATTATACTCATCTTTTGGCTTCAACAACAATGCAGCTCAGGAAAGGCCTTAACCGTATATTTGTTTGAGGTCAGCGACTCAAAGTACTGAAGTAAGAAGGTCCGCATGTGAGCCAAGTAAACAGCATTTACAGAGCGAGAGGTCAGCATTGGAAGCCTCTATTATTTTTCTCAGTAAAGGTTTCCTGTCAAAGATCAGTGCTAATTTTTATATTTCAGCATTGTTTTGTTCAACTTCAAATTGCTATTTTGCTCAGTGTTTGTAAACATGTGTCTATGCTTCTTTGTAACATTGACCATAGTTCTGCCTATTTGCAATCATTTCCTGCAGCATGGTAACGGTTTCCATGTCAAACATTTTGCTATATTAATAGGAAATATAGTAAGTTTAGTGCAGAAGATGGGCTCATGTATATGGGTGTAGAGAAATACTGATCATCTACGTAGGAGAGCACTGGAAGATGTTTCCTCCTTAACCCCTTCATGACTGAGGCCCTTTTTTCATTTTTTGCACCCATGTTATATTCCACATTTTAGGCCTGAAAATGACGACATGGATTGGCCCAAAAAAAGTGCTTGTGTTTACCCATAAATGTCCATAAAGCGCTTAGATTCGTAACATTTTAATTCCATTCCATTAAATTTATGCTCCTGCGCATGCAATCATGTACACATGCGTTTACACACATTTAAATGCATACGGGGGGG